TATGCAATCCTAATCATGTGTACAAATATCAAGTGAACTATGATCCGTTATGGATCGCTACACGTGCCAACAGTTACCTCAACTGTGCTTGTGCCTTCTCAGGTTACCGCCGAGCGTTCAACTGCTAGTCGTACCCATCGAAGAGTCGCCCAAACCGTCACCGAGTCGTAGTATCGTAGTCCGTCGGTCCTTGACCGTTGAATGAGAATCCAGCGTCACCGATACGGACCACCCGACTTGAGTGACATCTTGGTCATAGTCGGGCCCGACGATCGTTCGGTAGTGACGTATCCTTGAATGTCTTGTACCGTGGTCACCACCTGTCGCGTGACCGAGCGTTCGTGGCTTGAGCAACTTCAATGTAGTCACTTCAGTGATTACTCGTAAATCGCTACACCACAAACTGCGTGTTCCGCCTCCTCAACGTTTTCTCTGAGCGATTCTATCAGGCATTTCTCTCAAGTGGAAATCAACTGAGCCGAAGCAAGCTGGACCAAGGCGGGTCGACGTTCTGGACCGATGTTGCTGTGGAGTTTGACGGGATGGATATCGAGTTCGACCTGTTGATCTCGGACGATGGCGTTTCGCTGGTGTGGATCCATCGCAGTCCATGGCACACTCAGCTGCAAAACTCCAGCAAATGTGGCTTGAAGTTGCAAGCAACTTTGCTCGTGCAGAGGCCGCCTCCAAGACGTCTGGCAACCACAGTGATGACTTCTGGGATTTCTGTGCTGGACGAACGGACGTGGAGCGAACACCGTGGTTCTGGCCGTGAGTTTGCTCTGTTAACCTCTACCCAGACAACGAGGATGACTCCCAAACGGAGGCACGCGTTAGGGCGAGGCACAGAACCGCAAACATCGCAAAACGTCCCAAGCAGATGTGATGGCTTCGCTTGCTGAAAGTGTGGCTCTGTTTGTGGCTCATGAGGCTGACAACGCACACGACGAGACCTGGAAGGGACAAGCCCTTTTTCTCCAGCAGCAGAGACTTCCCCAACGACTAACTATACTAGCCAGCATGCTAGAGTGCACGAAGGAAGATGGGACCCGCTTGATTCAAATAATTCGCGATCGTGATGACGAGTGTGATGAGGACTTTGACGACGTGAATTACGACGCGGAGTTGGAAGAGATAATTAAAAGCACAACGTACTAACGACGCAGATTTAAGAGCTAGAAGACGCGCTGCTTTACGGCGGACATGAAAAAGCTGAACGACGATTATGTGGCGATGGCACGAACTGGTAGTCGTCGGGGATTATAATTCTGGATGTGATCCAAGAAGCTGGCGCAGATTTCGCCCTCGTGTCTCGTTGGAAAGGTCTGCAGCAGTGAGGGTGGCAGAGCCATGGAGGCTGTTGTCAGTGGGCAGGTACGAGCTCTCTGATAGCTGTGATACCCAACAAACACTTCGTCGTACCGTGCATGCAGTAATAATGAAGTTTTCATGCACGTCTTGGCCACATTACTCACGTTTTGAAAGTCGACAACCAGGGGCCTTTTGAAGACCTGCCACTTGTTCACCAGCAGTCCAAACGACATTTCTATTCGAATGCGAAGCTGATTTAGGTTAAAAAAAAATTTTTTTAGTCGGAGTCTTGGATTGCCTTGCACTCAAGCTAGTTGTAAGGAACCAGGAACGAGTCCGAAAGTGGATAGGCTTTATCACCAGCGCAATAATATCCAGGCGGCAGTGCCAAAATCGCATCACTCAGCGTCCACTTCTTGATCGCAATCGAGTCCCCAACGCTGCCCGGTGAGCCAAAGCAATATCCTGTATAGCGACACAGTGAGTCGCAGATGGATTGAACATTGAGCCCGTTCATCTGGTAGTGACCGGAAAAGAACGCAGCTACGTCAGGCACTTCCTCCGCTGTTTGGGCTCATATTTGGTACAGCCATCCGTCCAGACAGCCAACGCAGCCCGTTAAAATACCGTCCTTGCTTATTTGTGGGAAGCCATCATCAAGTTCCTGCCATCGTTCTTCAGACTCTGTGGGAGACTGTGACGGAGCTTCTCGTAGTCACACAGCGCACTCACTATGTCCTTGGTGATGTCATAGAAGACCGAGGGAGATACACCACCAAGACAACCAGTGGTGTGGTAATTGCTGCCGGCGAGCCACGATATCGTCATCTGGAGCGTGTTTTGTGGTGTAATCGGATCGATTCCCGTACGCTGTTTAGACTCGACCTCGTCACAAGTCAGCATAGGCCAGATCAGCAGAAACAGTTTCTCGAAAAAGTGCACGCCCATCCGATAGCATTGCTTGAACTGCCCTTCGAGTAGCAGTCTTTGATTGCGCGCGTTCCAGTCCAAGCGCTTGCGAGGAACACAACCAGACACCGTCACTATCGCCACCATCATTCGGCGACGGCGTTTTTGCGCTTGAGCGGCTTGATCCATCCACGAAGGCACGCCCATCGCTCGACCCTCTCACAATAAAACACTAGTTTCAGCTTTTTTTAGTGGCGAGTGCGCTCAGGTCACGATCCCAACCTCCCATGCGACGCTTCGCCAGCCAAGCAGAGCCCGAGGTTCGAGCACCAATCCGTGCCGACCAGGGTTAGGAACGGCCTTTAGCGCTGGGTAGATGCACTGGTCGTACACGGGAGCCCACCTGCAGCGTTACTACATTCGACACGAGGAAGGACAGGATGGGTACCATAAGGAGGGTAGTTGAGCAAAAGCCAGTGACAACGAGAATGATATTCTTGACCTTCATTTATTTAATTATAAATTCAACACGAACGGCACGATGTCAGTAATACGTAAAAAGAAATTCTCCGTTGCCTCACCCTTTACAAGTTGAGGTCGTGGTGCAGCGGGACGCGAAACCGCTTTCCCGAAATGTCAGTCGATCTAGTGAAATCATGTAGGTGACAACGTAGACATGTAAGAGTTTTGGTTGTCCATTCTCTTATTTAGAGTTCGATCTAATAGCCTAGATTCAGGATCGGTCTTCAGGCTCCGCTCGAACAACCGTTCAAACATTGCCTGGGCCACGTACCCTAAAACAAAAGATAGACAAAATAGCAATGCGATTATAATTAAAATGCACTGATCTAGAGGGCCCATGGTTTGAACGAGAAGCTAGTCATTGCGATTCCACGCCGCAGTAGTCTGGTTGGCCTTCCAGACGAAACGAAAATATCGTCTTTGTATGTAAGGATGAGTAGCTTGTGGTGTATGATAGGGTTGCGGTGGTGGACAGGAATGCCAGCGGCGATCAGCAGCTTGATATATTCAATGGCAGACGGATACGAACGAACCCACTTCCGGTCGGTAACGACTCGCACCGGCTTGTGCAGCCGATGGAGCCAGATGAGAGCGCGGCAAAAAACAATGTCCGTCAACGCGTAGAAAGCCAAGTTGGCTCTTGTAACAGCAGTGTCCTCAAGGCTGTGGAGTAGTGCGGTTCTTGCGATGTTGTCAGCTTTAACGTAGCGTACTACTGTAGCTGTAGCCCGCTTTATACCACGGCGAGGGCCGGGTCTGGGCTTGCCGCTTCGGACAGCATTAGTAGTGCAATTACTGGTTCTTTGGTGTGTACATCAACTGTACACAATTCTGCAACAAAGTCAACAAAGTCAATGGTGGCAGCAGCTGAAGCGGACGCGGTCGGTACGCCTGCAGCCAGCGTTGCATGCACAGTGTCTCCGTCCGGGACATCGAATGCATCTCCTTCACCAGACAATGGAGTTTCTTCTGATGTATTGGCCACGGCGAAAGTCCCAGTGGATGGCCCGGCCGACTCGGACGAAGAAGAGGTGACGACGGCTGAGTTCTCCGTGGACTTGGCCGACGGCCAGACATGGGCCATTAACTTCTACGAGTGCGCGGCCGAAGGAGACCTCGAATGTCTTGAAGAGATTCTGGACAGCGGACGCGTGGGTGTCAACGATGTCGACGTCGACGGCTTTACTGCTCTCATGGTGGCCGCGGCCGAGGGACACCGAGACGTGGTGCGCGCGTTGATAAGACGCGGCGCCGATGTCGGCGTCCGCACTCATGAACTGCGCTCTACTGCTCTACACTTTGCCGCAAAGGTAGTCTACATCCAGTGGCCAATGCTGAGCTGTAACATATCTGATACTTTAGTTATGTGCTGTACTTTTGAGTAGAACGGAGATGCGGAGATCGTGGCCGCTCTGTGTGAGTGCGATGCAGCCGTGGTGGACAGCTGGAACGTAAATGTAGACACGCCGTTGATCTGGGCGTGTATTGAAGGCCGGGCCGAGGCTGTGAAGGTGCTGCTGAAGCACGGAGCAGATGTCAATGTGTTGAATCAGTACGGGGCGTCGACGTTGCTGTGCGCCGTGATGATCGGAGAAGATCCGGAGCAGGATGAGGAGAGTGACAAACGGCGTGCTGAGATTCTGGCCATGTTGCTGGAGAAGAACGGGAAGCTCGTGAACTTCCAGGACCGAGAGGGCAGCACGGCGATGCACTTGGCGGCGGCGTGCGGATACTTGGAGTGTGTGAAGATACTGCTGGCGTCTGGCGCGGATATTACGCTACGGAATGCGATTGGACAGACACCGCTGGAAGAAGCTCAGGACTCGGAGCTTCGTGAGAGTGGCCAATGTGTGGAGCATCTGCGTGGGATCTGGCGGCAGCTTGAAGAAGAAGCCGCGGCACGTATGATGGCGATGCTCGAGATGGAGGAAGAAGCAGACAAGAATGCTACAGGAGCCTCTGGAACAGGCACTACCAAGAAAAATAAGAAGAAACACAAGAAGGCCAAGCGCAAGGCCGCTAAACAACAACAGCAGCAGGAGGCCGTGTCGGATGTTAACTCCGTCAATATCAAATCAACGAAGCAGGAAGGGAGTATGCAGACTGAGCCTGAACCTTTGATTGATGAGCCTTCTGCTGAACCCGATCGCGAGACTACACTTGAGACTACCCGTGTGGAGAAGGAAGAGGAAGAATCTGCGAGCTCTGAGGAGGAGCAAGAATCACTAGTTCGAGACTCGATGGTGTCTATCGGTCAGGACTGCGAACATGAAGATAATAACTTAGCGCCGGATGATACTAAAGACATCGATACGACGGTGTCGGCTGGTGCATGGACTACTGTTGGCAAGAAACACCGCTCTCCTGTTTCTGCCATCACCAGTTCAGCGAAAGCTCCTGTTAATTCGCAAAAAGAGGCTCCACTGTCGACTCCCACTCGGCGAAAGGCTACGACGACTCCTCCCAAACCCGTCCCGAATACTTCTCGCCGGAGAGTGAACCAAAGATCAAGCAACGCTCAAAATTCGGCCGGCGGTAGAGCAACTTCGACATCAGCTTCTACAACCCCTTCCGTTGTTGTTCACACGTCTCAAGAGGAACGATGGAAGAAACCAAGCAACTTCAGTACATCACGGTCTATTACGTCGTCGTCGCTACTGAACCCCAACGCTCTGACCTTCCGATCACTTGGACTGGCAACTGCATTAACTAATGCGTCAAGAGAGTCGAACTCGACTAGTTCGAGCGGAATTCCGTTTTCGTCTACATCCCCATGGAGGCCAGGCTTCAAGTCATCGTCAGCAATGGCCCCGTATACCGTCGCTTCGTCATCAATATCGTCCACGGGTGTACATTACGGACGTCTAACGTGGAAGCAGCAACGTACCAGTGGTAACCACCAAGTGGCCCATGAAGCTCGTGATCGATGGGTAAGCAAGCTTCGACTCGGCAACGAAAATGTGGCCGAGACATTGGGTTACCTGGCCTGTGGTCTATGTGGTGAGCTTGTGAATGACAATCTACAATGTAGTGGTGGTGCGTCGGGAAATGCTGGCGAAAAGATCTCAGCGTGTACACAACTGTACTGTGCTTCATGTCTGGAATCCTCGTCTTTCCGAACGGCTGATTCGACCATGTTTAAGTGCGTTCGATGTCATCAAGTGATCACAAAGGAGTCCATGACCCGCAATAGCCTAGCGCAGGCCCAAGCTGCGTCGCTGGGGCTTTCCATGTCAAACTCAACTAATGCTGGCGGTCAGGACGATTATTCATTGGAAGACATGCAGCATATTCTGGAGGCCTCAGAGCCTCGAATCTCTGCTGCGAACTTGCGTGTATTCCACTTAGCTCCTGGAATGGATCTCAGTACACTGAGCAACGGCCAGCTCGAAGTGCTGGAAAGCGCTCATCAACTTGCTCTAGCTCAGATTATGGAGCAACGTCTCACTAATGCACGAACTCTCGAGCGTTTGCGAATGGAGGAGTGGCTCAAAATGCAACGAGATGTGCTGCAGTTCGCTCCGCGATGAAATGGAACACCATAAGCATAGAATAGATACCTGTTTTGCTTTGTATTTTATCTTGAATTTCTCAAAAGATTGTAGTGAGTACGCAATTATTTTTCAAGCACATGGAAACTTACGAGTGTCGTGCTGGTGGGAGGTCATCGTAGTAGATATCGTCGCCGTCTCCAGTGAGGTAGTCTTCATCATCATCGCGACACAGATCTTGTAGCATGCGAAGTTGTCTCTCGGCTCGTTCTCGCTGCATTGCCGCCGTCTTCTCGTGTACCTTGTCCAGTAGATAGCGGAAGGCCACCACAAACCAGTCGCGTTGTTGCTCGTTTACTGCCTCGATATCAAGAGACCGCACCGATGTTACCAGAGAGAAGCAGTGGGCAGCCTTGGCCGACGTTACCAACCCCGCTGCTCGAGCTCTGGCGAACACGGGCGTATGGTGGCCTTCGTGTACTGAAATGATCTCATCGAGCTGCAGTGAGTCTCCGCTACGGCCCAGCCACGACACTTCTCCGAATCGATCCACGAAGACCCGTGTCTTGTGTGGTTTACCTTTACGGCCATATTTCCAGACAGGTAAATTCTCCATGCGCTTCATAATTGTAAGCTCCACTTGCTGGGCCACTCGTCGTTCGTGATCACGGGCCAGGTCCACTAGGAACTCCAGACTGCGTTGTAGCCACTCCCTTTCCTCGGCCGTTTTGGCCTTGAGATCCAATGTGCGAGTGTGCGTTACCACCGACAACGTGCATCCAGCGTCGTCCAGATTCAATGTGCCTTTGTGGAGCGCTCGGGCCAGGACACTAGTCGTAGGGCCGGATGTGACTCGTAGAATGCTTGCCAGAGGAATGGCGTTCTTGGCCTTGACACGCTTCTTACCCATGGTGGTCGTGGCTGCCACGCCGTCGACAGCAATGTGTGTGGCCTGAGCCAGTAGCTTCGAAGTCCAGCGTAAAGTGTCGCCGTTCTCCACACACAAGTTCGTAGCATGAGGTTTGCCCTTACGGCCATACTTGACGACACTCGTGCCGGCCACACACTGCAGGGCCACGCGATACTCCGTCATCTTGCGTTGCAGTGTCATCTCCGTTCTCTTCTGCTGTTCCTGTCGTGCATGAGCTTCACCCTGCACATGCGCACAAATGGCCCACTTGACTGAGATGGCCGACCGCAGCGAGATCCGCTTCTCCTTGCGAGCATTGTGCACGATCTGAAGAAAATATGCGGCCCACTTGGTCCCTCTGATCTCGAACTCCAGCGACACGATCAGGCCGCGCATGTAGGCCTTCGATCGCCTCGGGCTCTTGACGTGGCACGTGGTCCGGACGTCTGCAATCAGATCTCGAGGGAAACAACTCAGAAACTCGTCCACGGAGCTCTCGCGCCACATTTCGCGGGGCCCAAAGCTGGATGGCGACGCCTGCGTTTCGGAATCTACGGACGAAACGTCTGACGACGATCTCAGACGGGCATCATGGTCCCGTTCGAATACCAACGCTAAGTTTTGTCGGCGTTCTCTCCGCAATGAAGACCCGGAAGATCTTGACGACGACGACGACTCGGACGATCTGGTCGAGTACCGCAGCGACGACGAACGGGACGAGCGCTGAGGGAAGACGCCGGCGCAGTTATCACGTGCGACTCGAGCGGCCAGCTGGACATTGGGCCGGCCATCCGGCGGCGTGTACAGCTTGGTGCTGGCCGAGCTGCTCTCCTCTTCTCCGCCACTGAAGCTCCGACTCCTACTGCGCCTGGTCCGGTTCTTGGGCTTTTTGGTCCGGATGCGAAGGTGCGGCCGTTTGTCGTCCTCCACTTGGCCGTCCTGCTTCTTGTGCGAGAAGAAGGCCAGGAACCTCGAGGACGTCGACGACGTTGTGGCCGGCGACTCGGCCGCTTTGGCCCGGCGACTTAGACCCATTGGCCGGCGCTGTTTCCTCTGCCTGTCCGGAGAAATAAAACTACCAGTGTCTCCTGGAATGCAAAAGGCAAAGTGCTGAACTGGAAACGCAGAGCACGCGTATGTAAAGTTTCAGTCCGGCGCTGGCCCTTTTATTCGTAGAAAGGTGACCAGCGAAAGCAGGTATAGAGACAGAACTAGTTGCTCGAACGCGAACTGAGCTGGTGCTAAAACGCTAACGGTTATCGAAGCTTCCAGGGCAATTGCAGGGTTTTCAGTGCAGTAGTGAGTGAAGTTGTGTCCTGGTTTTGGGGTGTAGCCTGCCTCCCAGGTGGTTCAAACTTGACTTGCACAGCTGGCCGTAGTGAGGATACTGGGCCACCAATTCGGAATGCAGGATTCCCGAAATGCTGACCACTAGCCGTGTATTGGCTTCGGCCTCATTGCTACGAGTGTGTTGGGGCCAAGGCTGTCCCCGGTTTCTTTCGACGGGGTGCTGTAGCATCGTGCCGTCGCCGGGGACATCGTGCAACGAGTCGCCCCACGACGTCAAACTAGAGACTCCACGAGTTATGAATCAAGACTCTTGATATCGCGATGGAATCCGTGGATGGCATTCGGCCCAGAACGGGAACTGACCATGACTGAAGCTTGGTGTGCCGTAACGTCAACCGACCGGATCGGCCACGTTAACTAATGCTTCGCGTCACTGAGCTCTCGCTTGAAATGCAAGAGTTTTGATCGCTTAAAGGGGACAGTTAAGTTCGTGTGTGAATGATCCACGTCAACCCTATGGATGTACTAGTACATGTATTTGCGTAGTAGTATGCTTGAACAGTGGCTACAACAAAGCCCGTGTGTCTTGGTCCAAGCCTCATTCGGAGTTTGGGATCTGGCTGGTTATCAGCAGTGTCCCATGTAGGGGTTACAAGGGCCATTATTCCTTGCTAACGGTCAGGTATTCGGTGAATCCTCAGAGCAACGTCCACAGGGAGGTAGATCTGAGCACACATGGTCTGAACCGCATTATCGGCAACGTCTCTTAACTTGTTCAGCTCAATGACTCAGGGGGGGGGTCTACAACGGCACAAGGATCAAATCAAGGCTACCAACTAGCACTTTTGCGACTGAAATACAGTTTTCGATCTCTGTTTTGCACTTTTGTTTCTACTAGCCTCCTTCCCGTTTCATCCAGAGAGTTAATCGAGTGCGGCGATGACAAATTCGCCGGAGATTCTCGATCATGAATATTATGGAGCCTCACGCCATCGTCTCAAGAAATACTTGAAACCCTACTGCTATTATTTAATACAACCTTATTAAGTACGCACGCTTTAGCTAGCTAGGTACTTCGTATTGGATGCGACCACGACCTCAGGTCGGACCTGTCTAGCAACGATTGATCCAGCAAATTTTATATGTACGACGCAAATCACTCGAAGCTCGGAAGTATTCAGCGTACCTAGAGTTTCATCTAAGTTTCTTCATGTAATGCAGATATTGACGATCGTTGCGATCGATGTTACTGGAATGTCATGATGCTCTCTTGAACGGTGCACGTCTCTTGTGGTCAGGACTGGCCTCAGCTTCGAATTACTACCTGGAGCAACAGTGACAACACCAAAGAAACACCATACTCCAAGACTGATGCAAATGATATCCATGCAAAGATCTTCAAAATGCCTACTTGTTGGACTGCTCAGCTTTCTTTCGAAGAATCCGACCAGTACTTGGTCGCCCCTGGGTCGCTTTACTAGTCGGCGTTTCCTTACTAGATTCGTGAATATCCACCACAACAGCACCACTAGTTCTCTTGTTATCAGTGCCTGGGGTACGTAGCCCACCACGCTCGTTTTGTGGCGGGTAGAGCCGAGCTAGCACCTTGTCTTGGTTTTCAGGTGCACGCGCCACACGGTAAACGCAGAAACATAACGCGGTGACTAGCAATGTCACTGCAAATGTAAACACCGCAATTCCAGCCGGACTTCTGAAAACCCACTTAAAAATGGCGTGTCCAAAGGATTGATCTGTCAGTAGAGAACTGTACGCGTCTGCGTCGGATGTTTCGTATTGCTCAGCCACAAGCTGAAACGACGAGGCCTCACTGTTCACCAATCTACGTCGAGCAGAGACAGTGAGTTGGGTAGTACCGTTCGTCGATGGGTAGTCTGTGTGAACAACCACCCAGAAATCACCCGAGAAGGACGCATTCGGTATCTCAACCGCTTGCGCCTTGGTGCTGGTATCTTCACTTGCAAGGGAGATATACGTGAAGTCATACAGCGATCTGGGAAGAACTTCACTCACGTACACGCTAGGTGTAACACCTCCCGTCGCTTGTTCGACTGATTGCAGTGTTAATCGCAGACCAACGCCCACACGGAGAGGCTCGGGAACACGAAACATCATGACCTGGCCACGTGTCAATGTGAAGCTGGCGTTGCAGGTTGAACACAACATCGTTACGTTCTCCATCGCACTCCAGAGTTGGATCAACTCGAAACCTTTAGGAGAATTGCACGAGATCCCTGACCATCCCGTCTCGCATTGACATGCCGGAGTTCCGTCCTTAACAACACATTGACCGTGACCATGGCAGCTCTCAGTGTCTCCGCATGAAGCCAAAGTACTGGATGTACTGGAATACACCGCTGCTTGAAGTTGAAAACGAAGCGGAGATCCCGACACAACTCGATTGTGCACGGCGACCTTGAAGCAGTCACTCCTAGTGGCTGCATATGAACAAGCCGTTGTTACAGCGACAGCCACAGTTTGTTTATTGGAGCGTTGAGCGACAGCGTCAAAGTCTTGTAAAGACGATATCGCCAACGATGGGAAACCTGCATCACTGGGGCCACGCACTAAAAGCAGCGGCCGTACAGGTGTCTCCGCCTCCGCAATATCGTTGTGAATTAGCAAGCTGAACTCCACTGCTTTCGCTGCCGAGTCATTAACATCAAAGGAGAAATACACCCACTCACCGACTGCTAACGTCAAATACTCTGCACTCTCGTATGCCACGTTGGTACTGCTTACAAATGGCTTTGAAAGCACGATTCGTGTGGGTTGTAGGGAGCAATAACGACCGCTGTATCCATCAGTGCACGTACATAGTTCACTTGACAACGTACTGCACACTCCTCCATTCAAACAAACGCCCACTGTGTCGTCATCGGTGGATAGATCGGTACTGCCGCTGTCAGATAATGTGGCGTTATTCTCCTCCATCACAGCGTTGAAGCTCGAAACCAGAGTTGATGTCTGGCAATCGTCCGCAGCGTTCACAGTGAGTCGGTAGTCTAGCGATCCACGAGCATATTCACTGTTGTATACACCGATGTAATAAAGACCCGAGCTCAGCGTAGATGTCGACCTTGACAGAACAATCTTACGTGTTGACGCGGCCGTAGCCCACCCACCTACATCAGTAAACTGAATAGAGCTGGACGAACTCGAAGCGGTTAGTAGAATCGTTGGTAAAGTTTCACGACGGATAAACAGCGTGGCATCTCCATCGGAAGAGATTTTATCCAGGTTTACAACGAGAACTTCCCACTCATCTTTAACCGTGATAGTATACAACGCCCAGTTCCCACGTTCGATCTGTAAGTCCAATAGCCCAGCTTCCATCCTAAAAGGCCCTGTAAAATGCTCAATATACGCCACCGACAGCACCAACTCTTTGCAAAGAGCTTGAGCTGACGTAGTTGGAGGGCTAAAAGTAAAAGCTTCGTCACAAACACAGACGGGGTGATTTCCCGTTACTTGGCACACGCCATTACCATAACACTCGGACGTGTTTCGTAAAGAATTGATGCCGATTGACACGGTTGTAGTAGAATCAGTCCACGTAGTGGCATCGGAACACGTGCCTAAATCCTGGCAGTCTGGGCCACATTTTGGTACACTGCAGTCGTCTCCGCTCCAATAACGATCGCAGGTGCACACGCCGGGTTTGTTTCGACCGCAACTACCATGACCAGAGCATGTTACACCGCGACATTTGTCCGTCTCGACACGAAGACGTACGAGAGAATTCCCAGTCGAGAACCCGAGCAACGATAGGTAGAAATAGCCAGGTACTGCTTGAGTGTAGGCCTCTGTCGCTTTAGTGCAGATACGCGATGTAGAGTTGATACCTCGTGGGAATACTCCAAGCGATCCACAGAGGTTAATCTCATCGCTGACTTTTGCATCGTTGGTGCTGGAAAAGCGAATGCTACTGGCTGTCAACGCCGTTGGGAACTGTTCGTCAAATGATCCGTATAAATCCACATCAGTCGTAGCATGTGTACCCGAAGGATACTCTACGATGAAGGTAACATCGTAAGAGCTTGCGTCTAAAGCGAATTTGAAGAACTTGTACTGCTTTGAGCCGACTGTCACACTTACTCCATCTTCAGTCAGCAACGTCATGCCCGGATTACCAGCAACGGAGCAAGAAACACCGGAAAACCCCGCGGAACAAGTACACGCTCCAGATTCACAGCTACACTCGCCATGAGCTCCACACGACGAACTGGTACAGCCTGGCACACACTCACAAGCATCGCCAGAGTAGCCATTACGACAGCTACATAAGCCGGTATCCACATCACAGACGCCATTCCCAGAACACTGCGTGATATTTTTGCTGTTGCTCTCCACAGGGCACAATAAGCCCGAGCAGCTTACTCCTGTATATCCACTCGCGCATTTACAGATCCCCGTGCTCCTTTCACAGCTTCCATGAGAACTCCCTCCGCACTCAACATCGTTGTGGCTTGGACATTCAATTCCAGAGCAGTCGTCGCCTGTATGACCTGGAAAACAGTCACAGTCTCCGCTAGAAAGAAGCACTCCATTCCCAGAGCATTTATCCTGTAGCAGCTGGCAAATCTGTGAGCTTGGTGGACACACCAGTTTCCCTTTATACCCAGCAACCTTGATCTCTCCGCCTCCAGCAGGGCAATGCACTTTGAGCCCACCGATAGATAACGTTAACGTTGTCGACGAGCACTCCAGTACTTTGTAGCAAGTCGGTCTTAAAGCTGATGAACCACTGGAAGATCGACTCAGACTGGACTCGAAACATTTACTAGACAAGCCAGCTTCTTCCATGTAATTGCTCGTATCCAATATTGTCGACGTCCGTCCAATTCCTCGACAATCTCCATTGTTGTAGCCGCGATAGAATGGACAATAGTCTGCGAAAGTGTCCCGACCGCCAAAAAGAGGATCTTTAAAATACTGGAAGCCCGCAGGGATACTGAACTGTAACTAGCAACGTTGCAATAGCCTTTGACATTATAGTCTGCTGTACATCCACGTTGTGCTTCATCCGTGCAAATGTAGCGGTCATTCCATTGCGAACATCGCGACTTCGCCATGCCACACCCTTCGTGGTACCCCCACGGAAGCGGCTGAGCTTGAGAGAAGCTCACTTCGTACCATCCACTATCCGCAAACAGCGCCAGCGTGAGAGCAGAGTAGACTGGATCATACGCACTAATGGCACTCATGTACTCGTTCATAACGACGCGCTTCTCCCAGTGTGAACTGAACGAAGAACCTCCGTTATCACCATTCTCTAGCTCCAGACCAGCATCTGTCCAATCGAAGCAGTTAAAATGCCGCTTAATCTGCTGAACAACTTGCGGCGTGACGATCTTGCTCACAGTAATTCCTCCAGTTCCTTGGGTTTGTACAACCACGTTCTCATATTTCCAGAGTGGTCCATTCCGTGGCTGGCGAAAGTTCACAAAAAGTCGTTGAGAGAAAACCAGAGCGTGTGTCATCTCGTGAAGAGCCGTCCCTACTTGTTCAGTGCGACTCGCGCCAGTCGTTCCTGAAGGATTTAAACGTGAAGGACTGAAGTTGGCTTGACCTGAAATGGGGCGGCCGAACTGGTCGAGGTTGCAAGGTAGCGCCCAGGCAATGACAGCTCCTAGTGTAGGACGTGCCGTCACGTGCAGCAAATAATCTGCGTTGGCCACGCCGTTGGAGCGGTAAAAAGCGGGCATCGAGTTGCTACAACACGCCCAATCGGTTTCGTTGGAGCACGACATCCCCTTTACGACCAGGTTTCCTGCTACACGTTGGACAGAGAGAATGCTGCCAAAGTAGTCGGAGATGGCCTTGAGAAGAACAGACGTAAGGAACTCTTTTTTTGCAGGAGTGAGGATATCTTCCTGCGAGCAAGTGTACGCTCCATTGTCCACTTGGACAATCTCGCCCACTTTCCCGCACTTGTAGCCAGGATCACTGCCAAAACCCAACAAACCACAGCTCAGATTTAATAAACTACATTGAATCCAAGTGATCAAACGCCTTACGAGAAGAGTTTCGAGATGTCGAAAGCGATTCGTAGTGGTTCAAACGCAGACGATGTTCCAGTGGCTTCGAGCTTCCGATTCGTTCCCGTTGTCGGTAGCCCGATCACGTCCAGAAATGTAGTCGTAAAGTAATCGCGGGGTGAAGTTTGAGCTGAAAATTCTTTTTGGACGAAATTCTGCGGGACGACGAGTGATTCTAAGTCCACTGAGCGTTCAAACACCTCGGCTTTCCTGTCGTGGATGCAGTCATGATGGTGGTGACTTGTCGCTTCAACTTGCCACGTTCTCAAGCGAATTGTGATGCCAACAATCAGCGCTCGAATCCACTGGTTTCTTGCTCTCATTTCTTGCTGGAGATTCGATTGTCACTTGAAGTTTGCAGTCACTGCACAGGAAGTTTCATCGCTGAAAAACGGATCGTTAAAAATAATGAGAACTTGTGGGTATAGTGGTTACTAGCCATCACGTCAATACGTTAGTGGATATGTGTGCTGACGCTATCGTCCATCCAACGAATGCAGTTGCCTTCGGCATCTCCAGAAAATAATTGTCGTTGCTCGGGGCCGAGAGTAAGTGCCGTCACCTTCGCTCGATGATTAAGTAGAAGTTTAAGAATGAAAAGTTGGCATGAGGGTATCACGTGTGTGCACGAACTTGACGAGACTCTTTGATTTAGAATCGATACCGGCATGTTGACAGCACCCATCCGCTTGTAGTTGCTCGGTGAGCTGCAGAAACGCGGAGACTCCTCCGAATTGGCTGCGTCTTCTGCATCCAAATTCTCCTTTTTTTGTCGCTCCAAATCCGCTGGGTAGCGTATCCCCCACAACGCGATTGCTCCGTTCACATGGCCAGTGACAGCGATCACCCCACTTTGCCACAAATCACAACGCGTCGAGATCGCACATGACTACAAGTACGAGCGTTAGTATAAATCCAAGCGCATATTTTCTTCGAAAACCACTTACAATTGCTTGAAGACCGAATGTTGAGGAACTTGATGCTGCGAGAAGATCCCCGTTGATACTCCACAGCCGTATTTCCGAGCTCGTTGTGGTTAGTACATTACCATTCGCACTGTTGATTGAGACATGGGAGACCGTCGCTGCGTGTCCAGCTAATTCCTGCAGTAGCGCTCTTGTTCGCAAGTCCCATAGCAACACACTTCGATCCGCCGAGGAGCTTGCGATTAAGTTGAACTCCTTGTTGATGGCAACGCAGACGACAGCGTCATTGTGGCCAACGAACTTCGCTGCCTGTTTAAACACACGGCGTCCGTCCGAGTCTTTGGAGCATTCAATCAGATTAACGACCGCATCTTCTCCTCCCGTGACCAAAAGTGCACCGTCATCTGATACTGACGCGGAGTTAATACCGCCATGATGTGCTCCTTCAACAACGGCGAGAATTTTGTTAGCTTCTCGGTATCGACCGCTACCTGGGTGTTGCTGGTGCACTCGAAGCTTCATGACGCCGCTGTTATTCCCCCAATCCAAATACTTCGCATAGCGTGGTGGCATAAAGGAGCACCCCACACCTTGGCACTGCATCTTGTCGTGCACGAACTTGACATCTCCGATCGCTGTTCCATTCACTTGCACTGAAATAGCAGAGTGTTTCTTCATAAACACATAATCCTTCCCGATCGCAACAAGCGCAGGGGCTAATGGCGTATGCCACTTGACGTAAGACTCGATAGTACTCAGTGTCATTCCGTCGTACTGGTGTCCCGCAGAAGAGTTCATTGATGATGCTTCAGTAGCTGATGTGGGTATCAGTGTTGGCACTTTGCGTTGAGGGTGTGGACTCGAAAAAAGACGCGAGGGCGTTTGTCCGAAATTCTCGATTTGTGCCAGTGTAGCTGCTCGCATAACGGGGTCTGTGATCTGTTCAATGTCCACTGTTCCTTCGTAAGTGAAGTTCATGAACACATTCTGAGCATTCACCGCAGCTTGGCCAGTCTGCTTGGCTCCGAACACGAGGTCAATCCACTCGTGAAGATGCTCTGAGACGTACTTGGACTCCAGTGCCCGTCGATTCAATCGCACGAACTCTCGAGGATCGCCATGAGCCCATGTCGGTAGAATGACATGCCATACCTCCTCTCCACTTTGCGTAGTACCGAACACGCAGTTGTTGGCATTGTAGAGGAATTCTGGCAGGTAGAAAAACTCTGGAATAAGCTCGCGTACGTCCTGTAAATTGTCTCTGGAAGCTGAAGTCCAGGACGACGGGATACTGCGAAATAGTCGGTCTGGATGATCAAAGACACCTCCCTGTAACTCTAAAGCCAGAGCCGTGAAAGGTTCCAAGCGAATGAGGTAGTTGATCACGTACGCAGAGCACGAATAGTGCGTGCCATAATGAAATGCCGGTGTCCCTGTATCCATATCTTGGCCCATTGATGCGAACCGCTCACAGAACTGAGCTGCTCGATTCGCACTGATCGCCCCCATCGGTTTGGATAAGTCTCGATATGTTTCACTTGTGTCCAGATTGAGAAATTCACTCTTATAATCGGCGATTACCCACGGAAACACCGGATACTGCGTGATGTCATTAAAGCTGCGTCCGGCCAATGTGTTCAAGTGAATGAGGTACTCAAAGTTCGTCATAGACCCGCGTAACCATCGCTTTGTGACTGTTTGGCGTATTCGCTTGCCCGATGGGACTAGCGCTCCTGTACGAAGAACAGGACTCCAGAAAATACTGTTCACCATTGGCATTTGAAAGAGAAGTTTAACAACTTCTTCTCGATCCGCAGACGTCTCCAGTTGGAGGAAATAGGTAGAACCGAATGTGTCGAAGAACTCGATACCAACAGGTCGTAATTGGTACTTGATCCGGCAGAACTGCTTGACATTTGAATACTTGATACTCCAGCGCGAGCTTGTCGCGGATGCTGATGAAGTTGGTATGGGCTCACCAGGTTGCGTGGCAAGGTCCAGTAAAGGTGCAACCGTGAAGAATTGATCACCTCCAGCTTTTGATCCAGAAAACTGCATACCCAAATCAGTCAACGCAGCTCGTATGAGTCTCTTTGTTGCTTTTCTCTTGCCTCCAGTTGGGGTGATCGTATGCTTGCCGCTCTGATAACTTAGTTGTAGGCCAGGAAAATACTCACTTGACGAGTGGGGATTTGTATCTGTCGAGGTAATTGGTAACGTGTTGCTTTCATGAGCGTCTGGATCGTTGTAAAGCTTCGTGTAGCCACTGATGAAGTATATTCCAAAGCGACAGATCACCAAGAGACCAGGAGTTCTCCCCATACCAACGATGTACGCGGCATTGAAACTTCGCATTGGAGGATAGTCGTCTCTTCGAAGGAAGCGAGCGATAGCACCGTATACAACGTCGGATGAAGTATCTACTCGCTTAGTTTGATCCATCTTTGGTGACATTGGCTCAAGTGTGGAAACATCGACCGGATCTCGAGTGTCCTTTTCGATAGCCACTTCTGGAGGAGCTGCCTGTTCGCTCTCGTTAATTTCTTCGTGGCCGTCGGAGTCATCGCTTTCTGCCGCATCAAATGGGAGTGTGGATCCAACTGGTGCTTCTCCTTCAAGCTCATCGCCTGACCCATCATGCTCAGTATTCCCCGAGACCATGGCTGAATCTACTCGTAGCGACTGTACACTCTCCTCCTGTCGTACGGTATTAAGTGCATATTGTGCCACTTCAGCATCCGCCGCATCAAAAAGCGTTGGGGGGATCGACTGCCCATCAACAGAGTCGTTTATCACTTGGTCGATATCTGCTATAACAGACGGTGACACGCCCATACTCACTTTTCCATCCGTATCCTCATCATCCACAATAAACGAGCTATACAGTGTCCGAGCAACCGCGAGCACTGTCAATTCTACAGCGCCATCCATAATACTACCGAATAACTGGCGCGTCGAGTCCATTTTGCAGCGAGTAACAATACTTTGAAGCCCTTGTGCGTTATCCTCTGTTCCCTCTACTGTTTGCTGCTGGTACACGAACTCTCTGAAAACTTCAACAGCTTCGTGGAATTCCATACTTCGTTGGAATGGCTTGTTGTCTAGGTTCTCCACAGTGTTCATCAGGAGAATAGAAGGCCACAACGCGTTGTCTACATCTTTTGGTTTGTCATCAGCTAGCTGAGTAGTACTAGTCTCTGTCTGTGCAGCAGAGATTCTCTCTCTATACGTATAGTCTCGAACCAGTCGGAGTCGCATCCGTTGAGGTCCCTCCGTCGGATCTAAGCTGTAGCCAAGTGACTTTCGCTGGAAAATACTGCGTTTTTGTTGCTCCAAATCGGGGATCTGGCTCACTTCATCAGCCACCGACGTACTCAACTGCCATTTCCCTGTCTGCCAAATGTTCCGAGTATATGCTAAACGCAATGAAACTTCGCGCCATTGAGATAACCCGTCGTTGATTGCTTCTAGCGCACTATCCCGAATGCCCGTGTACTTCATTACTGCCTTCTTCGCGACAATATCGCAACGATCCGATTCGAAGTCATCGTAGATGTCGCTTTTAGTCGCCTCCTTTTGGATATCAAGGCGTACCGGGAAGTTGGTATCGAGACTTACCTCTGTGCCCGCAGAGCCAACTGGAACCTTTCGGAGACAGATACACGACAGCAAAACTTCCAGCATATGTCGCTGAATCGAGTCAGTTCTTGCCACGATGAGATCTTCCAGTAATTCATTATTCTCCGCCAGCCAGAGCTGGAACTGGCACCAAATTTCTTGGTTAATCGAGACATCAACATCTTGATCCCTTTTACAATCGTCACCTTCATCTGAGATATGAAGCGCGTAGAGAAGTCGATCAAAGCCGCCATGAAAAATATCAACAGCTGCCTCCTTCTTCGTAGATGTGATTGTTTGCAACACAGACGTCCGTGGCTCTGCAATTAAAAGATCTCTCAGCACGTCGAAGCGCTGATCAATTATAAACTGCCACATGACAATTGCAGTGTGACGCACTTCTGCCGAGTCGTCCATCAGCATTCGATAGAGTTGGGATGCCAGAGCGAGAATAAAACTGCGATCAGATTCTGCACCGACGCCAAACTCCTTGTGAGAGTTAGCACTGAGACTCCGAACTCTGTACACCCGGCGAGGTTGACGTCCCGATGGCGTACTACTGGACTCAACACCACTGGCTGTGTCGTTTGTGATGTCACAAACGACGATGCCTTGCCACTTTGGTTGCTGTAAAAGGATATTCTTGGATTCTACCAGACAATTCAGAATCCTCTGGAAGGTAAGCGTATCTCGATGAGTACCTACAAGCTCGTTCAGTATCACTGTCTGCGCACAGTAAATCAGTACTCCATAGAAAAACTGTTGATGCTCCACGCCCAATGCCTCCACGATCGCTGCTTGAGAGCACAACTCGCAGCAAGATAAGAAAAAAGCGAGAACGTCCGCTCCAAAGCAAGCTGTAGCGGATGCGTCAATACGTTGATGATCTTCTGCATTAGATTCTTGAATGTCTGAAGTGGTGGCGTCTTTTGTAGACTCTTTCAAATGATGATTCTCCTCGTCTCCCATATACCGAGCGAGCGCAACGCAAACGGTACCCAAGTTTTTCATTGTTACCAATGTCGTAGTGTTTGTCAAAACCTTCTGTCTCTCTAGGACGAATTTGAGAAGCGCCAACCAACATTTTTGTCCAGCCACACGAGATAGAACCGATCCACCTTGCCTTACAATATTTTCATCGAAAAGTTCCAAGAAGAGCATCATCAAAGATCCAAACTCATCACTTGAAAGAGATCGGATCATGATGACTTGAGTGATGTTCACACAGGCGTTCGTAATAGAAGTGGAAGCGCTTGGATCAGAGCCCATTATCTCAGCTAGTCGGTGAAGCAAACTGCACACAGAGTCCGGGGTGCTCACCGAAATATCGCCAGCTTCTGGGTTTTGGTTGATAGTTGTCGGGCTGGTCACTGGACAACTTAGAAGACATTGCGCTAGGATTCGAATCAACGTGCCACTTGACTTACACACAGCTGTGAAAAACGACGGGCTGGTTTCCACTTGAAACGCGATGATTCCCAGCACTATCACAGTGACATCGGTAGCGACACTGCTGTTCATCAGTCTACAGTTTTGAAGCAGTAATTCTCCAATTAAATCCCAGACTTGATCAATACATCGTACAGCGGGCATTTTCTTTGGGCTTACTCCAATCAAGGAGAGCGTATCAGGGTCGCAGTAGCTTGTATCACCAATAGGGATGTTGGAAACATACCCCAGCAGCGGAATGTACACACAGCAATCAGTGCTGTACTTGCGCAGCACTCGCTTCAATTTCTGCATCAATACAGTCTGGCATAATAAATGCTCAGCGAAACTCGAGTGAGATTGAGCCAATGAGAACAGGATCCGAATCGCCAGCAGCACTTCAGCAGATATCCACGGACCATCATCGTGACCTTGATCAATCACCTCCAAAAGAACATTCGCAAAGCCGTCAACGGGGTATTTCGAGGAAAACGATTTTCCAAGCTTTAACGAGCCGTCACTTATTGGCGACCCCAAAGACGCAGTCTCGAGGCTGTTGCCAGTTTCAATGCGCTTGTCATCCCGCTTTTTGGGTACAGGGAGAGCAGCTTCACGGTACAAAATTGCTTCAGCGATAGTGTCAGAGAGACGGGATCCTCGTGCTTTTGCGTCTGAAGTACCGCTGCTTTCACTTTGTGACGCATCATTCTCGATTTCATGGAGCACAAACTGCAACAAAATGACTCGAATCGGGCTCTCTCTAGTGTGCAAGACACTATTCGTCATGGAAAGCAGCATAATTTCGCCAATTCCGTTGATGTCGTCCACGTGACTTTCAATGCGCACAAGCGCTCGTAGCAAGGATAAAGCATACTGCAGTATCGCTTCAAAAGTTGGCTCAGAGAACTTTGGAAAACACCATCTCATCTCAAGCGCAGTAGCTTCATCCATTTTGCACTCCTCGTTTCCAAGCTCTGTCAAGTACGTGAGTATCCACTGGAAAACACCAGATCTTCGTAGTTGGCGAGCGTTAAAGACTGCGTTCGGGTTTGCTGACACCAGCAAGTCCATTAAAAGTGACACAAGCTGGCACTGCAGATGATGCGGCAATTTCTTGCGGAGTTCACCGTTCAGTAGTATTTGAGCTAGGGCGACAGAATCCACCACAACTGGATGTGCTAGTTGCGTGCTCCCCCCACCGGAAGTTGCGTAAGGGGCCAATGTCCCAGCCACGGCTAGCCGCACGACACACGTGAGCATCTTTTCGTCGATCAAATCCACCCTTGTGCACAGCAGTGCTATGATAAAATTGTAGCCATTGCACCCGATGCACTCAGCCAAGCAAGACGGATTGCGTCGTAGAACGTTTACCAGCATTTTCAGCACCAGGTAGAAATCACAGTGTCGAGTCGCATTATCCAACAGCGGGAAGATAACCAGTCCGAGGCCTCCAACTGATGGTAGCGACCGAGCTAAATCCAAGCCACTGGACTGGTCACAGTTTACATAATGAACCTGAGTATGGAGCAACATTGGTGTGCTGGACCGGTCGCTGGATGATGTGTTTAACGTGAACAACACGGTTTCTTCAGAAAACTTGCACGTCTGCAGTAAAGCTTCAATCTCAGCACCAAACGAACTCATCGCGCACTCGTAGCTCACAAAATTCCGGAATGCAGCCACCTTGTTCCGCTCCTTTCGAGAGGATCCTCCCCCTCCGGTTGCGAAACGTAATCCTTCAGCTAATTCCTGCTTTTTAGCGATCATCGATTCTGCAATTAATGCAGCACCAGCAGCGACTGCGTCGTTGGCTGCACTTTGAGTCACGTTAAGAGCCTCGTTCCAATCGCTCCACTGTCGTTGGCAAGAGCGTCCAAGCTTGGCAAGATGTAATCGCTGAGCAAATTGAGCAATCTCGATCCCACGGTCGGCCGCACGAGCTAAATGTGAACTTGCAAGGGCTTCCAGCCAGTCCCCCACTGAGCGATAGGAGTGACCACTGAACTGATGCGAAAACGTCGGACCTAACGAGAAGATCCCCGCAATTGTACCACTCGGAATCACTTCATCTGTAAACCACGCTGGACCGATTTTCCAGGATAAAGCGGAATGAGGACTGCACACTTGCGCATCGCTACCGACAAATGCTTGGAATGATCCAATGGCGGGCGCTGAAGGATAGTTGAGTTTCTTGGTCGCTATTTCCTGTCCGTCGATGTATACCGTGATCAGAGAACTCCCCACGACGGATTTTCGGTGGGTAAACGCGAAGTGGTGCCAGTCTCGCTTGTGTTCTGTCTGCTCAATGTGTGAAGCACAAACATCATTACTATTGCCACCGTTCGAAGTGGCAGCAGGTCGTAGATTCTCGATCGCCACTGCGTCAAAAACGACTGATGTGCGCTTCGGATTGGGGTTCATGCTGGGTCCTGAATTAACAGTCCCTGTGTGGAAGCGAAGGAAGCCTGTCGAGTGCTCGAAGAAAGCACGGATAAAACAACCAGAAGCCTCGAGTGAGTAAATCGAGACGATACAGGCGGAACCTTCCTCTGAACCACTTTGTGGATCCTCCACGGGTTTGTTCACACCAGGATCGCCGTCACTCAGTACGCCAAATGAAGTAAGCAGCGTATTAGTCGATAAACTTTGGCCAGCGGGCATTCTCGCGCTATTGCACTGTTCCATGGCGCGCCACCACATCTCCATAGTATCTGCATCAGTGCAGCTTGCTAGAATTACTCGCGTATCCGATACAAACGACCACTCTAGTGGACCCTTTCGAGCAATACTCGCCACATTTAATTCTCCAGTAGCATTTTCGTGATGAGCAGATGCTTCTTTTGATGTAAAAAGCGTCAAGGTTGTACCCACTAAAACACCATACACACTCATCCGTTCCTCCTGGTCGTCATCAGGAGTCAAAGTGAGGTTCCCTTCACATAGTGGAACTGATACCGTCAACCTTGCTAAGTTAGTCGTGGTTTTCGAGGTTGGGCTTTTACTGTCATCGCGTGCTGGTAAAGCTGGGAAGCGAAGCCAACACGAGAAGGAATATCCCGATGACGGAGGCCACACTCGTTCGGTACTGTTCACAATATGAACGTATCGTCCAGTCTGTCCAGATCCTTGTGGCTTTCCAACATATATATTCCGGATAGCTGGGTTTCTCAATAGATTCTGCAGCAATAATAGTCCAGTCTCAGGGATTTCAGTCGATGTGGTATCTTCGGATGTCTCCTTACAGCAGCACAGATTGCTTAAAAGCTTTGGCATTGCTTTACCCACAAGTTTAAGAACATCGTGCAAGTGCGGAATTGAGAGATCCTCTTCCAGCACAATTGTCGTTAACCACTTAACCAGATACGGATTCAACGGGTCCTCTGCATTTTTGAGCTTCAGTATCAGATCAGGATCATCCATCCATTGAAACACCCCAGCTCGTACTAAACATATCGTCCGCTCTTTCTTAGAAATCGAACTCCCATCATTTACAATTTCAAGCATCGAAATCAACTTCGTCATTGTGTCGATGGCATCGCTATCGGACACAGTCGGCAATAATCGAAACACTATCTGGACCGCATCCCCATTGCGAATTTCAGTTTGCGAGACGCCACTTGCGATGAGGTCTAATATCCTTTGCAAAAGCGCTTTCCTCTTGGTCGTTTTCATGACGCCAGACGTGATAATGCAGCTCGCAATCGTAGCATACCCATCAATAGACCTGAAGTACTCGACATTATCGTCATTGCCATGCTGTGAATCAAGCGTGACGTTTAATAACTCCAGCACGAGGTCCATTATCCGGAACACACGCTCGTGCGAAGCACTATCCGCAGTCAGGTCAAGGGATGAAAACAGCGCAACCAACCTTTCGTAACCTTGACATGATTTCCATAATGCCGCTACCGTTGAACCACCCACCTTGAGTACATCCATCAAAGTATACAGTAGCAACAATTGTCGCCAAATTGCTCCGCGAAAACGCTGCAACAAGTCTAAAATGGTGCTTATATCGGATTCCACCCCAGAATGGAGCATTGCCAGCTGGCTCTCAGGTTCACTTGAATATCGTAAAGCTGCCGCTAACTCCGTAAACGTAGTCATAAGCGAGAACTCTTTTAGGCGAGAGCGGTCTTCATGAGCAATATCGAAAGGGGTGGCCATGACGTCGCTCGACACCAGTACCTCGGTAATAGTGTACAATGATTGAGGTATTCGTGATTGTCTGAATCGAGTACATTCCTGGGAATTATGACGCAGCATCAAGCAAAGTAAAGTTCCGTACATGTCGAGGTGAGGCTTCAAGCTCGTCAGAACCTTGTGTGTAGTCGATGTGTCGGGTTCTGGAACAGCACTCAAGCACTCAGCAATCTGATCAAGCCACATGTAAATCCCGCGATCCATCAGTCCAAACGCGCTCAGCTCTTGCTTGTATCTGTCCGCTTCTTCATTTCGCAGGATCTTTGTCAAACATTCACACATTAAAGTCGAAAGTGTCGGCATCGGTCCTTCCTCGAATGCTCTCAACAAAGCTTCAGGAATCCACCTTGATGACAGTTCGAGATTATTCGGTCCTTCAGCTTCATCTTTGCTTTGATAAGTAGTAAGCGGGCTGTATGCAATAAGTAATCCACACACAACGGATAAAATCTCGTGAGGAAGGGGATCTTCGGGTTTTGCAGCACAGCAAACATACTCCACGATGCGCAGTATAATCACTTGGGCGTCGTAAAAGTTGGTATGTGGTAACTTGGTCAACAGTAACGCTAACGTTCGCGTTTTGGGCTCGAGAAATACGAAATTGTCGTAATCACTTGTGTAGATATGGAGAATCTGAGTGAGCAATTGCAGAATCAGATGCTCGTTCCGCCGTAGAGTTTCAGTACTCAGCTTCGACGTACTGACGGTCAAGTCACTAATATAGTTCAGCAGCAAGTCCCGCATAGAGGAGAAGGCGTGAATATTTCTTGCGCCAAATGTAATGACACCGTCGCAGCTTTCTGATGAACGAGAACCAAGTGGCATCAGCAGCGTCAGCATATCGAGCAAAGCGGGTATCTCCTCTTCTGTGCATGTATCCAGAAGACGCAACAATAACGCGTATCCACCAGCAGTATGAAAAGCTTCCAATAGAACAGGCGTGAAGCGGTACGTTTTCTCACAAACGTAAACGAGGGATCTAAGCCCGCTTCGTACATCATAAGAGGGTAGGCAAAATATCTCGGACGAAGTCGGCTGGTCCCGCTCTCTTGACTCCTCATTTGCTGGAGCATTCAAAGACGGCGTCGTAGTGGATACGCCACGATCACTTGGAAGTCCCACGACACGTGTGAGCCCGAGGGCTTCGCTAACAGCGGCTGCAGCCGCTGAATCATCGATGCCAATTACTTTGTTAGCTTGGATGAATCGCTCTGAGGTCGAATGCAGATATGCCTGCATTGCCCGCTCCGCCGTTTCGAGATTGGTAGGTGTGGCTAAAGTGTAATTCGTCATCCGTTCAACTGTTTTAGCAATAATATCACAATCCAGCAAGTACCACGTGAGTCCAGCGTTAAAATTTCGGTCCTGCACTGACAGGAGCGCTCGACTGCAATAGGCACGAATAAATACTGCTGCCAGCGGATACTCCTCAGCCGTCAATGCAATTAGGATAGGCAGTTCGCACCGAAATTTCTCCATTATTGTCTCGTTCGAAGCGATAGCGACCACACAGTTCATTAACAGTTGAAGTGGCGGGATCATTTCTTGAAATAATGCTGGAGCTGAAGTAGGTAGTGTTTCTTCACTCTGTTTTCCAGCTTGGTTCTGTTTCACCATGTTGACTAGCTCTTCCTTCATGGCAAATACTCGCATCTTCGCCACAAAATCCAACACCAATGACGGAAACGCTGTCTGTTCGCACAATGCAAGCCCCATCGGACACGAAAAGTAGCTCTTTAACAACTCCAATGACAGCTCACCTGGGGAAAATACACTTAACTGTTAGATATTCGACAGTAACTTCAACATCATTAATGCATCAGTAGACCTGACTGCTGCATAAGTTTGGCCACCGCTTCCTCGACAAAATCCTTCAAGTTTCTTAACTCCTGATTGAACTCCTCTCCATTCAATATTTCGGTGATCCTGCACTCCAACCAAACGCAACACTGAGCTCCTCGTCTAGTATACTTGTTTCAGAGACACATACACTGCCTTAAGATGTGCTGCTACTCCTCGCAGCACTGCATCCAAGCTCTTTAGCATTTCCTAATGACCATGCATAGATGTTATTGTTATTGCGTTGTTATATTCTGGCAGAAACTTTATATTAGAATGTATGTTTGAGTCCGTACTTGGTCAGCTGGAAGAGGCTGCGGATGCGACGCAGAGGGCAGCAGGAAGCCCCACCGCTTTGTAGTGGGTGCAACGGATGACTCTACATCGGCAGTAGGTGTCGATGCAGCGCGGACGCTCTCGGCCGATTGCGTGCGTGCGAAGATGCCACCTAGCAACTTCTTCATGGTGGGTCGCCGAAAGTAAAGTTAAGTGTATCCATTTCTACTAAATGCGTTACTTAATTAATCACTTTAAGTGATGCTGAAAAAACTAAAGTTCTTTTATTTCTAAATGAATTTGAAAGAAACTTTTTATTCTGCCAAATCAGATCGGGTCTGATTCTGACAATTTTCAAATTTATATTTAAACATCCGAAAAGTATCAATCAGACCGGATCTGATTCGGCAACCACGAACCTCAAAATAGAATTTCAAGTAATACTTTTCCCAATTTAGTATAGTACTCTAGAGCATAGTACTGCTTTCAACTACCTACAACTACTTTCAGAATGATAGTAGTATTGTATTACTGGCTGCTGAATCAGATCCAAACTGGTTTTGAGATTTATTATATTTAAACTTGGGTATCCAGAGATTATCAGAGTCAGACTGGATCTGATAAAGATATATTACAACTATAATATATCTTTTGAATATTAGGGCAGTAACAAATGGTACCTACTTACATAACTTAGCTGAAGTAATTGGTTGGACTATTATTATAGTAGTGCATCTATCAATTCAGGAGATCCATTTCTTTTATTTATTGACTTTTGATTCATTAGTCCAATTAAATTCAACTTAATTTTAATTGAATATTCATTTTAAACAAAGTAATTAATTAGCATTTTATTTTTTTAACCAGATTTAACACATTTCTTGAAACAACATAAAACCAAGAGTGACGTGAAATCGAAAAAAAAATTATCGTAATATCCCATAATTCTGCCTCGCCATAATTACTGGTGAAAGGCAGCGCAAGTGGCGGGTAAATCAATCGTAGGAATGTTCATTTCTAGAAATTGGCAAGCCTTCGCCAGGCAAGCAAGCACGTAACTGTGCAAGCAGCAGAAGCTCCACAAATCAGCCAGTCAATTGCAGATTTGTACGGCATCGACAGGACGACAGTCTGGAGATGAGTGTGCGACAGCATCGCATCGAAGTGGCTACAAAAAGCAAGCCGAACAAGTCATTCATTGCCGAAGAAAAGCGAGAGCCAAAACCTCGTTTCTCGCCGGTAAAAACAAGTGCTGCTTAACTGCTTTTTTTTTACACTAACATGATTTAACCGCCCTAACTTGCGTTGCATCAGATTGATAAACTGGTTATACTGGGAATACCTCAGAATGAGTAATGGACAGCCCTAACAGGATTAATTGCGAACGTAAATGGGCCAACGTTCGGATAACATCCAAAATATCGTACTTAGTATGTGATTAAAAGTTCTAAGAACATGTATTCCCAGTGTAAGTCGCAGACGATCTAGTCGAAATGCGTTCTTACAAAGCCCCCTCTAAACAAAATTGTTTTTGTTGTTGTAGTTTTTTTTTTATTTTACAGATAGAGGTGTTTTAAATTATGTAACTTACTTTATCTTTGTAATGATCCAGGTGTGACGACAGAGTGTCTGCTTAACATGGCTATCGGGTTTGAGCCAGAGTTTGTTTCTGGCCGCATGAAGAAGGCGGGAATCATGTACGTGCACAGATTCTGCCGTCGATATCGTCTATCAATTTGGCGTATCACTCACCGCGGCACTAACAAACGAATTGGCATGTAGGTAGTTCTTGTTAATTTTATGCATGTTTGGTCTATTAAGGTTTACTAACTCTAAATTCATGTTCTTGTTTGTGGAAAATTGCAGAAAGCTTTCTAAAACTGTTCATTACAATTTAGAGAAATCTAGCGTCGTGTTTCACATCCCTAGGTCTGTTAAATTTGCCGCCGTCTTCAACATGCATCAAACGACAGCTTACATCGACATGGGACTCAACATGATTGACTTTGAAGGGGCCAAACACGTCGACGTTGTCCTCGGTTAAATACTAAAATATTTTACACGACCCGGTTATTTTTATTTGCTTTAGGTATGACGGAGAATGCATTCAGTGCTATTGTTTTTTTTTTTCTTTACCAATGGGGGAGAATTATTTAAATTGTTTTAAAATAACTACAATTATTAATCTTATATTTTGAACACAAGCAAGCAAATATTATTGCTATTTGCTTTAATTTGCAGAAATCCGATCGGTCGACCTTCACGTAACATGCCTTTGATGTGGATCGATGTAGCCATGTCAGTGGCTGATTTATTGGAGCCAAGTGTAGGCAACACTGAGTAGTGCAGTTTACAACGTGCAGGTGCAAGTGCAGCACCGCCCGAGTGTCCGAGACTATCCCATGTTGGACGAGACGGAGGTCGAGACGGTCACACGCATTCACGCTGTGGACATCCGGGACTTGTACCCGCATCGGGCTCCTGAGGACGTCACCTCGCGCGTGTGTCTGCTGTGCGGCGCCAAGCTTAAGGACAAGACGCATAACCTCACGCGTCATCTGGAGCGACATCATGCCGGAGCGCTGCTGCAGTTGCTGGAGCAGCGCAATCAGGCGTCGCCCAGTGTGCTTGCATCCAGGACCAGACGCACGCAACAGGAGAAGACGGCGGCCAGACAGCCAGCGGGACAGGTGGAGGACACAGTACTCAAGGCTGGAGACGCCAAGCTCGCACTGGCAAGATGGCTAGCGCAGGAGCAACTACCCGTTGACCTAATCGAAAAGTCCGGCTTCCGTGAATTTATCGAAGCACTCAATGAACAGTTCAGTCCACCAAAGAGAGAAGAACTGCGACAGCTATTGAGCTCGTTGGTGGTAGGCACGGACGACAGCAAACTCGGCGACGCCGACATGATGACCGACGGTGAAGTTTGCTCGATAGTGGAGATGATGGCGTTGAGAGCTACGTGTCGCTGCAGTGAAGACTCGCCATTAGTCTCATACAGCCAAGTCGCGTGTGATATTGTTGACACGGGCAAGGCTAAAGTGAAGGTGGTACGAGCAGCAGCCTCCCTCTTTGACGCACAAACTTGTCGGGGTAAACTTCTGGGGAAGAATGGCGTGTTGGGCAGGTCCTTTGTTGGCGTCATCACGGAGATGCAGCCGTCAGAGTGCGAGGACACGTCTGTTAAGTTGTTTGACAAGGTCGTCGCCTCTCCATATATCTTCGACGCGGTAATTACCAAGCAGGAGCACCAAGAACACCACGTCGATCAACCCCTTCATACCTCTGACAGCTCCTGTATCGGTGTAAGTGCATCCAGCGGTGCTCTGGCTGAGTTTATCGTGCTGCCAATCTCCAACCTGTCGGCAGTCCCTGCAGCCGTCCCCGATGACTTGGCACTGCTTTCCGACGACATGTCCGTCGTCCTCTCCATCGCCAGTGAGTTGCAGAGGCGACAAGTGACCAACATCGCGATCCTATCGGACGGACCGTCGGCAATCCTCTCAAACCTGTTGACGCGATACCTGTATCAACACGCGCAGTTCTCACCGCATAATCTCCACGTGTTCTCAACGTCAACAGTCAGCACTTCCGTGTGGTCGCAGCACGTCGCCCTCACTCCTCTAGATATTTATCAGCCTGCAGCCGTGGCTCAAGTGATCGCGCGACAGACCGAGTTGGCGCTGGATGTTGTTGTGGATCTCATTGCTTCCGAGCCTTCCGTCGAGTTCGCCACGTCGCTGGTGCAGTCGATGGGCTGCATGGTGCTCGTAGACAGATCTCGACTGGAGCTACAGCCGCGATCGACCATCGCCATGGATATGAACTCTGTGGTCGTTAGAGAACTGGAGGTCGTCTGCGTACAGGACTGCAAAAGCTTCTTGGACGATGCGCTGCAGTACTTAACCACTCAGGCGCAGAGCCAGCAGAGCGCGACGGAACTGCGCGAGTGTCTGCTGGACAGTGTGCAGCTCTCACAGGCGCTTCACGAGCTCCAGACGATTCCTGAGCGAACGCTGGAAGCGCGGTATCTTCAAGTGGCGCTGACTTGATTAAGTACGATAATTGGATCTTCAAGGCTACATTTTACTGTTGCTTAGTGGAGCTCTTACATGCACGTGTACAGGATGAAGAGCGTTGAGAGGTTCTCTTGAAGCACATCGTGATGGCTTACAAGCGATGTCGGTGTTACAGCTTCGAGCGGAAGCGCTTGAAGGACTGCTGCAGTCCCGCTCCTTGCTTGACGGCTTCTGCGACCTTGTTGTCTTGCTCTTCGATGATCTCCGCCCTGGCTGCAACTTCAGCTGCGTGTTCAACAGGTAGGACTATCACGCCGTTGACGTCGCCTCGGATGATGTCGTTGTTGCGCACAACACAACCTCCTACAACCACGGGGCAGTTCACGTCCACCACCGTCGTGGTGCCTTGTTGTCCGTGTACCGATGTACCTCGAGAGAATGCCGGAAATCCCATCGAGCTGATCTCCTGTACGTCGCGGACGCGTCCATCCGTCACGACACCTGCAACACCGCGTGCTTTGGAGGCGGTGGCCAATAGTCCACCAAAGACACCAGAGGTGCTGCCGTTGGGTGCGCTGATGACGATTACCTGGCCCCGCTCGGTCTTGTCCACGTAATGGAATGGCAACTTCTTCACTGAGGGGCCTGTGGCAGGCACGACTTGCACCGTAAACGCAGGCCCGCAGATGTCCGTTTCCAGGGGAGTGTTGAAACCGCGCACGAGACTCACATCCAGGAGGTGGCCCTGGATTTTCAACTTAGCCATGGCATCGGCGATAGCACACACAGAGAGCTTGGTCAACCGCTGCTGTACGTCGGGGGCTACGAACGCGGAGGTCGACATCGTGACGAATTACGAATAGTGCCGAGATCGTGGTTGCGTTTCAAAAGGCGTTGAAGCTCATGATCGATTTTGAGGGGGCAGATTTGTGTCTTTTGTTGAATATATTTCGTTCTAGGATTCTAGTTTAACTGTCATCGACCAAAGCCAACCCTTCCGTTTCTTTCGGCGCCAACACCTGACGCAGCTAGCGTCTCTCTTTCAATACCAGGGTGCCTCGAAGAAGCACGATGATCTTTTTTCAACACTAACATTGTTACCGACCAGTTTAGCTCTTGTTTCAAAATTCCGGATGACTTGGTATGCTAGGCATTGGTGTGTTTACCTGCTGGTGAGGCCATTCTTCGTCATGAGGTTGCTACAACTTGTTACATGTAAAGAAACACCGTGTTGGAGAATGCTCGATGACTGCCAGTGAACCGCGGCCGAGTGCTAGCTCGTCTTGTCAGAGCTGTGCGTTAAAAGGGGTGACGCTGTAGACGCGATAGATTGAGTGCGCACATTGTGTAGATCTGAGACTGTGACGTTCACTTCAACTTACTCAGGTCTGCGATTGCCAATCGCCGATTGGGCGGCGGAGACGTCAGTGTGATTTGGACTCCAAAACTTTTGTAGAGTGTACACGTTTCAAAACTTGGATTGGATACTTTGCCGTGGTTAGACCACTTAATTACGAAATACTTAGAAGAACAGACGAGTTTGGTTGCACTCAGCGGCCTCCGGCGATTTGGCATCGAACTATCTTCGTTACTACTGCTGCTGCTAGATGTTGGAGACAGCATGGCGTGACATTGGTCTAGCCTATTGGCCGAATTCCGGAGTGGAAGAAGGATGAACTCGCATTTGCCAATGTGCACGGTCCGTCGAGATTGAAGTAGGAGTGATGGTCACTTCAACCCGATCAAAGCTGTGATTGGTCGGCGAGAATTCTTTTCTTGACATGTGACTAAATGCTTGACACAAAGCAAGTTTCTTCAATAATAGGCGCCAAATAGATCGCGCAGGTTTCCCTGTAAGATCTATCATCATGTTGATACAGACAGAGACCACTGACAGAGGTAATGCACAGCTTGTTGGAGCCAATTCGATGCATTTCTCGCTATTGATGTTACCAACAGCCTTATTTGAAGCAACACGAATTTGACTGCGATTAATTTATGATATCAAACCCCCTGCGTAAAGCTTCACTACTTTCATGAATGGTGCTTGCTCCTGGTTGCTTTACCCACAAACCAGTTCGGCCGCTAATCTTCTGGAGTCTCGGATTTTTGGGTCATAGTGTAGTATTGCAGCAGCTCTAGCATGTCTGCCCTGATCTGCATGCTGGTCTCGTACGCTTGAATGAGTTCGGTTCTGCTTTCACTCAGCATGTCATCACGCTCATCCAAAGCAGCAGTCAACCGCTCGTTCTCGGACTTCTCGTTCTCCAACGCTTTCATAAGCTCGATGAGCTTCCTCTCCAAATAACTGATCCTCTCCTGCTCCGGACTCATGTAAACCGCTTTAAGGCGGTTTGCTTCAGCTGTCAGTACCGGCATAGGTTCCTTCTTCATCTCTGCTGCGCTATGCTGGCCATCCGAGCTCCCCGTGGCGAATTGCATGTTGGTGGTAATGTTTGCTGCCTAGTCGGCAGCTTCTAAAGTGAGCCCACTGAAGGGAAACCAAACCGGGCGGAAATGAAAGCATAGTAAAACGAAGTATAAGTGCTCGAATACTCTGTGCTTCAACAGCTAAGGGGCTAGCGCTATACGTAGCTTAACATTCTTCTTGAAAGCACATATTCAAACTGTGCGAGAAACGCATACTCATGCAAGCAGCAGGTTGCCAATCTAACCCGAGGTTGGCTGCCGAACATTTTAAAATAATTATTTTAAACATTAAATTTGTATCTTAAGATCGATATCATTGGTTGATTCTATCCCAAAAGGCTCGCACATTGGCTATTTTTCCAATACAATACTATTGGCTGAAATAATCTCCCACGAACGTCTACTGGTCCAAAAGAATAGTTTCCCCAGCCGTAAAATACATTGGAACTCAAAAAGCTCCACCATGGGCCGAAAACCTAGCAATGTGTACGACTACTTTACCCGGCTGGAGCCCGAGGCTGGCCGCAAGGGGCTCGTGCGCTACCAGTGCAAGAAGTGTGACAAGCAGTACGCAAGCAATGCCACGCGTCTGGCGGAGCACCTCAAGATGTCGTGTGTACCGGGTTTCCAGACCAACCAGCGCTCCCGCAAGGCAATGATTGCCGTGTCCTCCGCCTCTGTTACCAATTCGCACCATGAGGCAGAAGCTGAAGACGAAAGCGAAGAGGCAGAGGACTCAACCGACATGGCGGCCACGGTGGCGTCACTCGCAGTGCCAACACCCAGTCCTGACACGTACTCACCCGCTGGGGTGGACACGGCCCAGTCACTGACCCTCAAGCGGGCTGACCAGCAACTGCTCACCAACATGTTGGAGTCAGAGGCTGAGCCTCCTCAGGACCAAACCGAGGTGCTGCTCCGATTGGCCAAGCTCTCTACCTGCGTCATTGGCGACGCTATGGCGGTGATGAAAATTAAAGGGCATTTGGTGGATCTGAACCTGGTTCGAGGGTATGACGCTCCGTTGGCGATGAATATCTGTGGACCGGCATTGACTGTCAAGATGATGCCTATCACTGGAGCCACGGTCGGTACCGGATCCTATGACTACATGGATACAGCGGAAATGGGTCAGGTGGTGGTGATCAGTGCTCCGACGGGCATTTCGACGGCCGTGTTTGGTGGCATATTGGCTACAGCGTCCAAGGCACGGAATGTGGCTGGTGTCGTGACAGACGGGCGTGTGCGGGATGTACAGGAATTGTGCGCAATGAACTTCCCGGCGTTCGCTACGGGCACGTCGGTGCACGGCGTGTGGGGGTCTACTGCGATTGGAGAAGTGAACTGCCCCATCGTCGTTGCGGGCTGCGTGGTGCGTCACAACGACATCATCCGCGGCGACATTAACGGTGTGATTGTAATCCCTGCTGAACGCGCTCAGGATATTGCCACCCGAGCGGAGATCATTGAGGACCAGGACAACAAGATCGCCGAAGCTCTGAACGAAGGTGAGCCTCTGCAGCGCTCCTTACACCGCTTCCGCTCGTCCCGGGATGTCTGATCACCATCCGATCGCCCACTCACTTCCACTGCCCGTCGTACAGGCAATCCACTGCCGACGGAGTTTTTCATTAGCTCGCCAGCTTCCTCGGAGGTATTTAACTAGTAACTGCAACGCCTACCTCAACAAAGCCATTTTTCTTTGCAACATGGCTACATGTATCCATCACCTTCAGTCCGCACTTAGTATGAGAAGCTCTGTTCGGTCTTTTATTTCTACCAAAGCAACCATGGCCGATGAGGTGGACTATGAGAGCGACACGGCTATGGCTGTGGAGGAAGAGGAGGTCAAGCCGCAGCAGGTGAAGCGTACAGTTAAAGGGCGTGGCTCCGGTTCCGCTGCGATGGACGCGTCGCGGTATCCGGCCGAGAGCGGCGTGTTCGAGAAGCTTAAGCCTTCAGCATCCAGTCGGGACCACTCGACGGCTCTGCGCTCCGTGGAGGGATGGCTACTATTCGTCACAGGCGTACATGAGGAGGCACAGGAGGAAGATGTGATGGACGCCTTCGGGGAGGACGCACAGGTCAAGGATCTGCATCTGAACTTGGACCGACGCTCGGGCTTCGTGAAGGGCTATGCATTGGTGGAGTTCGAACACTTTGAAGACGCCAAGGCGGCTATGGAACGCATGGACGGCCAGGAGATCTTGGGCAGTACGATTCATGTGGACTGGGCCTTCCGGAAGGAAGAAGCTGAGAGACGTGGAGGACGTCGTTCCAATCGACGGTAGATGGATACATCTGAGAGAATGGATACATTGGAGAGAATTGCTTGTGTGTTTGTTGTTTCTTCTTTGTAGACAATACGACGAGCTTGTAAAAACTAACTATCCTATGGTGAAGACACGCGCGTCGCGCTGTTTCTTGGGACGCCCGCTGGGCTTCTTGATCTTGTTCTTGTACTCTTCCATATACTTTTTCTCGAGTTGGCGTTTAATGCGCAGCCATTCTGCAACTTGCCGCTGAATCCTTCGAGCGCCAAAATATTGATGCGCGAAAAACTCAATACGACGCTTGGCCCCTGGAACACCAGTGATGCCTGGATCCTGGTCCGGGGGCATGTCGGAGATGGTACCTGCATTCACCTACACATTACAGTCAAGTTAGAGTTCAGTTAGAGTCATCCTTACAGTTAGAGTCACCCTGTTATCCATACTGCGTCAACGTACTTTAACCATCTCCCGAGTCATGGCCAGCAGTACATCTCGAAAGTAGACGTATTCGCCTTCATACAGAGGCACCTCGAGAAGGCCTGCACAGTGCGAAAGGCAATACAACGAGTTAGAACTGAATGTAGCCATTATCAATCCATGCAACTTACACATGTACTTGAAAAAGTGAGCCATGTCCATCGGCATGCCAAACTTCCCCAGTGGTGGCTTCAATAAATTCACAAGCAGCAGCATTTTATCGACCTTAACAAACCCCGTGGCTTTAGGATCAATATCGGCCCATTTGGTCTGGAATTCTTCAAGTAGTTCAGGTTCAAACAATGGCTCCTCATCTTCATGAGAGAGCGAGAAACCCTCGAGAATAACAGCAATCGTGAGGTTAAGCATCACATAAGTCACCAGTAACGTAAATGTACAGAAAAAACCATAAGCTATGGGATTCCCACATCCGTTCAGAGGTTTGCAGCCTTCGAAATCATTAAAACCACACATCGTTGGGTCATATGGAGGATCATCGACACAACCCGGAGAACTAGTAGCCAAGTCGTGCATACAACTATTCCACGCTTCTCCAGTTGCTGCACGTAAGAGGAAGAGGAAACCTTTGCCAAAATCCTGGAAATTAGCGTGGGTGTCGATATTATCCGACAAAGCCACCTTGGCGAAGATCTGAACACCCATAGTCGCGTAAATAAACAGCATTAGGAACAGGATCGACGTGATGTTACTGAGTCCAGGAAGAGCGATATACAGTGTCAATAGGATCTGTCGAATACTCTTTGACGCCTTGACGAGACGCAGTATACGTGTGACTCTAAACACACGCACTAGCATCGCAAGAGATCGCACGGAAGCTCCAGTAAACAGCTCCACAATGACGCTTAATAGGGTGCCAAGTACGACGAAAAAGTCGAATTGGTTCCACTGGTCCTCGAAATATTCCCATCCGTATGCGGCCAACTTCATCACTGCCTCTAATGTGAAAATTACCGCAAAAATCTCGTTCACAATGTTGATAACATACGCTTGCAATGTCGATTCACCGAAGAATTGTGCTGCCATTAAGAAGGTATTTACGATAATACAGATCATGATGAACCATTCAAAGCGCTGCATCTTGACCAAGAAGAATAGCTGTCGTCGTATAAATTGTCTCGGTGGCTTTAAAATACGAACGGGACCAACTCGAGACGCAGCTTTTTGTGCCTCAATCCACTTTTTCTGCTCTGGCGTGAGCATGAAATCCCCACCCAAAGCAGCTTTCATGCGGTTAAAGTTGTCAATAATAACACCCACGAACAAGTTCACGACGAAAAAGCTACCAACCATGATGAAGAGGACAAAAAATAAAGCCCAGATCATGTTGTTGTCCCGGACTGGCTGCATTCCGATGCCATTTGAATCGATTGCAGCCATCATGACATCCGCCCAGCCTTCGGTAGTGGAGATCTCGAAAAATGTCAACATGGCTGCGCCAACATTGTCGAAATTTTGCGGTAAAACGTGTCCCCATTCCGCTCCCCAGCACTCGCAAACGTATTCCGAAGTCAAATCCGAACCCGTGGTGGTTCGGAATGATGTTTCACAAGGTGTGCCGACGAACCAACTGCGTTGTAGAGCCGAAGAATCTTTCCAAGCTATTGGAGACACGAGAAAGCTCAGTTGTGCGTCTGAAAACGCATTAAAAACGTCTCCACTGCATGCGCTGAACGTTCCTTTCAGGTAATTTACCGCCACAATACTGAAAATGAGGAAGAAGAGCATACAGACAAAGAGAACGTTGATCACTTCGGGGATGGCTTCAAACAAGGCGTTCACGACCAGTTTCAGACCCGGTCGTCGGCTGATCATACGTAAAGGACGAAATGTTCTTAAACCTCGAAGTGATCGTAGAGACTTCAGGTTTGCTCCTTTTCCTGATGACTCAGCGACGAGCATGATGATAGACGAGACCACAATCACACAGTCAATGATGTTCCAGCCATTGCGAAGGTATGCGCCTTTATGCATGATCAGCCCCATGGCCACAATCTTGATGACCATTTCAATCGCGAAAACTATGGCCAGAGCTTTGTCCAGGCCTTTCAGGAACGTCGCGAGTCCTGAATTGGGATCGGCCAATGGGTTATCTACAGCCAAAGCAATGGAAGAAACCACGATAAGTCCGAAGACGGTCGAGTCGAAATGGCGATGGGTGGATAAATAACTTGCAATTCGACGGACTTTTGAGTCCACTGCGAAGAGGAATAGCGATCTCCCGGGGTTAATTTGAGTCAGTGGATTGTTTGAATCGTCCTGCGTTTCTTCATCTGGAGCTTGGTTCCCAGTTCCCAGCATCATAGCTGACACTAGACTTGCCCGTGAACTTGCCAGTATACTGTTTCGGGCAGTATTCACCATGTCACGCAGCGACGATTTCTCAAAGTTACTTAATTTGTCAACGCGAGGAGTTGTCGAGCCATTTTGAGGATTCATGCGAGCTGGGGTTTCGATGTATACGGTTTTTGCCAATGGTACACTTGGAGTGAGTTCGTCTGCGAATCTCTCGAGGTTGACTACGCGAACGTCTTCTTCGTCTCCATCCTCATCCACTTCCAGTATCGACTGTCGACGCGCTCCTAGGGGAAACGCGGTGGATACCATTAAGAAACTTCCTCTACTTGTCATCGTTCGCTCACTCTCTGAGGTTATTGGAGCAACTTTCATACTCATGTTCATCACTGACATTTTTTGAGCAAGTTTCTTGGTTTCTTCTTGTTTCTCCTTTTCTTGCTCTTCATCATTGTCTCCAAAGTTGTCGAGTAGCAAAGCCAAGAACAAGTTCATCAGCACAAAGTCGCCAAGAATCACCAGAGAAATAAAGTAAACACAGGAAAGCATGCCGTTGCCAAGGATGGCGTAGTACATAATACTGTTCCAATTCTCGCCCGTGATGATCTGAAAGACTGTGACGGCAGCCCAGAGCAATGTGTCAAAATTGTTTCGCGGAACCTACCGCTTAACAAAATCAGTACAGTTGGCGCATACATGTTTCGTAAAAATAAATAACTTACCGTCCCATTCCAGAACTCTTCCAGGTTGAATGGAGTCGGGTATCCTTCCTCATCGAAGCGCATCGTGTTACCAAAGAACTACAGAAAAAAATCGTAAGATATCCGTTAATTATTCCAGACATCGAAATATAGTTTACCTGCACACCAACCAATGCGTAGATGTAGATAAAGAGGAAGAGGAGTACTCCAAAGTTCGTGATACTTGCCACTGCTCGTATAATCATCTCCAGTAGTTCTCGTAGTGATTTCCAATCTCGAGCAAGCTTAAAAACTCGAAAAAGACGGAATGATCGTAGTGCTGACACTGCTCCTTTCTTTGGAGGATTGCTCGACATAAAAGAAGGCGGAGACGCGATAGTCTCAAGAATTCCCATCGTCACGATGAAAGCGTCAAACAAGTTGAATCTGTCTCGAGAGTATTGCCGTAATCCAAGCCCAAAGAGTTTCATGATCATCTCGATCACAAAGACACAAGACAGCGCGAAATTCACAATCTCGAGATCTTCATCCATCTTTGTGGGCATCGGGTAATGGTCCAGTGCTAGAATCGCTGTATTGGCGAGGATCACGGCCATGATAAAGCCCGAAAACAGTTTGTGCGATACAACGGCGTTAAGCCAGTGCTCACGGGCGAGTTTTTCAGCGTTTTCTCTCTCTAATTTCGCTCTCCTCTCCTCCTCTCGTTTTTGGGCTGCTGTCTTGCCAGGCTTCTGGTCAAGATTAAATTCTTCTGAAATAACTGCTAGTGTCAGATTCATGACGAAAAACGACGCGAAAATGATCAGAACCACGAAAAATATCGCCCCGATCGTCGGTTGGGACGAATCCATCACCATGTACATGATGACAGTCCAGCCTTCTTGTGTGATGGACTGGAAAATGGTGAAAAATGCCCGTCCGATGTTATCAAACGTCGTGAGACCCCAGTCTAGACTGGGGCGATAGAGAGCGTAATCCATGGCTTTGTGGTGACTAAATCTAGGGTTTCCAAATGCGTCGTAGTCTGAGCCACAAGTTTTCCCAATATTACACGCATGGTTGCCTGCTTGACCTTTTGCAGCGCATAGGAACTCGTCCTCGTCATCCACAGGCCAGAAACAGCTCTGAGGGGTATTCCAAGGTGAAGTTTCTTTTGTGTAATCTCCAGCACTGTCCTCGTAATCTAATAGCGGGGCGTCAATGCAAAAATACGCCTCTTCATTCATCTTCACTTGATCGATATATTCCTTGGGTACTGGCCAAATTGCTTCGTTCATGTCATCAAGTGGCAATTTTACGGGGAATGATGTCAAGCGACATCGACGGTTCATACTGCCACCGAATAGTTGAATACCGAGAATGCCAAAGATGAAGAAGACAAAAATCTGAAGAATCACGACATTTCCGAGTGCTGGCAAAGCTTTCAGTAAGGCGGCAATAAGACGCCTCATACCGGGGATCACTGATAGTGATCGTAGCGGACGTAGCACTCGGATCGTTCGAATAGCCGATACGTTGGGCATTCCTGGCAAAGAAGCCACAAGACTGAAATATAATAATTTCAGCGTAAGTTAAATAACACTCAAATATTACATGTACATCGCACCTTGAGACGACGACGAAAAAGTCGAGGACATTCCACATATCCTTCCCGTATGAGCCTCTGCCATGGACTCCCATTGCGATAATCTTGAGAATACATTCTGCCGTGAAAATAATTGTGAATGGAAGTTCCGAAATTTCTACTATATGGTTCTGGAGCGAGTAGGCATCCACGAGTCCACCGTCCTGGCATTTTTTCCCGGTGCTTGCAGGGTTCAACTCGGAGTCTACGACGGAGAAATCCGACAATCCGAGGATGATCGAGTTGGCCACAATGGCAGCAATAATGAATCGATCGAAATATTTGTGGGTGACTACCTGAACGCACCATCGGCGTAATTTATGTTCTCTGGACAGGAAATGGAAGAGGAAATAATCGGCGCCGAATCGCTAGAGAAAAAAATATCACAATCCCAGTAAATCTAACCATTAAGCGTGAAATGCATGTATTCAGTAGCGTACCTTTGGGGGCTCGACGAAGCCCAGTCGTCTCTTGAGATCTACTTGTAAAGGTTTTTCTGAGTGCTCGGGCGTGTGGGTGGCCGGGGGCTTTGTTGTTGGTGGGGCTCCTGCTTCTGGTGGAGGAGTCATTGTCGTGCGGGGAATGTCGGGAATCAACGCAAACGCATCCTTTTCCAAGGAGCCACCAGAAGCTGTCGGCGCGACCGCAAACCCGCGCTTAATTCTGCCTGATAGATGCCTTAGCACGTTCGGGACGGACGAAGTCTCGATAGTCCCGGACGTTGAACCGTAGCACGAAATGCCGTTCACACGGTCGTGGTCAATGGTTCGGCCCAACGGGGCCCAGCAGAAAGGAGTTACGGCTACTCGTCTGAAGCAACAATAAAGCAGCGAAACGATTTCCCAGAATAGGTGGACATTGATCTGGGCGGGTTTGCTTTGCCGAATCTCGCTCCATCGTATAAATATTTAGCTTCCAGCATCATGCTGCAAGTTAAGCCTTCTTCTACCCTAAACTGTCAAATATTTAGCATAGTTATCAAGGAATTTTGCGATAAATGCTTGATACTTGACAGGTTAGTACCATCCCTATCGGTATGTCAGTAAGACTGTGCTACTAACTTACTAGTAGTAGTAGCAGATGTCTATAGTCTATATAACCTATAGGTATTCTGGTAGTTGTTGGTGTCTGTTTCGTCGAAAATAGAGTCGTCTCTGGCATGAGTTGAGTACTATTAAGAATTCAAGGCACCAGCGCCATACTCTGGAGGATGGGTTGTGTCTGCGGCACTCAAGCGAATCGATACGTGGAAGTTCGTCGGGTCTTTGATGGCAGTTTATTCCTCCAACTCATCGGAGCAGACAGCAGTACTCAAGCAATCACATTGCGAAAAGCCGAGTCCTCTAGTCATCGAGCTTCTATTCAAGCTCAATCCGGCCAGATTGCAGTCATATTCGACGGATGCGTGAGTCTCTTTGACGCGAACGGGAAAAACACCTTAAGCATTCGTGCATTTATGCCTCTAGGACGTACCCATGTTGTGGTTCCTCATTCACCTGGTCACGCGTACGAGGTTGGCGCTCACTTACAGGACAGCGAAGTCCTGCTAACATCAGAAGTTTTCCTCTTCTGGAAATCCGAAAAGGAAGTTATTTGTCGGTATGTGACAGACGGAGGTGGTGAAGAGGTTGTTTTGCAGTCTACAATGTGTGCTCGAGTGGAGTTGCAGAACCAATCGCGATATCTGCTGCTACCTCCTCAATTGTTACCCGACAATAAGAAGGATTCTTCATTAAACGCTCTTACCAACGCAGATTTTATCGGTCTGCTCGGTACCATCCCATTCTTTGCGAATCTTCCGATAGACAAACTCGCTGTGCTCACTGAAATGTCGACTATTCGCGTATATCCCAGCAACAGCATCATCTTCCGCGAAGACGAAGGGATAAGTACGCAAATGTTCGTCACATTAACTGGTTCCGTCGAGGTGACCAGCTCACGCGCTACTGGACCATTAGCGACGTTAGAAGCAGGCTCGTTCTTTGGCGAAATGTCGTTATTGATCAATATTCCGCGTGCTGCGACCGTCAAGGCACTCGAAAGCTGCATGCTGATGAGCATCGAAAAGAAGGCCTTCCATAGTTTATTGGATCAGTGTCCTGATGTACGACTGGGCGTGAATAAACTTCTGAAAGAGAGACTTCTATTGAAGGCCATCTTGAGTGGAGTTCTGCCCTTCTTCGACTCAATACCCAACGAGAGAATGATTCGCTTCAGTCACGAACTTGACATTGAAGACCAAATCCACAAAGGTGACACTGTACTGCGTCAACAGGATGAGAATGACACAGAGGAGTCGAAATTTGTGTTTATAGTGTATGGAGCGGTGGAGATCACGTCCAATCACCGGAAAACCAGTAAATTCGGACACGACAGCACCGTATTCCTCACTCCTGGATGCTACTTGGGTCAATTCACCTTTGAGCGCATGAATGTGACTAAAGGGAAGGCATTCGCTCGGTCCTCTGCAGTTCTGCTGACTTGCTCCTTCAGTAAAGTCTTGGAGCTGTTTGAAGAATACCCCGCTGCTGGTGCCGCAGCAAACATCGCGTGGTTTGGAGAGCGATGTGACTTTGCCAGCGTGTTACGTCACGGTGTCTTGACGCAGAGATTCCAGACTTTTCTCGAATCCGAACATAGTGATGAGAACTATCTCTTCTTCCTGGAGATTGAGAAGTTCCGCGTGATAGGAGACGAAAGCGAGCGACGTGTAGCATCGAACCACATTCGGGAGTGGTATATCCAGTCAGATGCACCGAAAGAAGTGAATCTGCCTGCAATTATACGCGACGGTATCCTCGAGAAGATGGACAAGTTATCTCCGACAGGTATCGTGGAGACCACGTTCTTCGATGAGGCTTGTGACGAGATCATGCGGCTTATGGTGAAAGACAGCTTCCCACGTTTCAAGAAGAGTCTGCACTTCCAGAACATAGTGGACACGTTAGACCCCCACACTAATCGAAAAGGTTCCAGACTTATCGCCGCCTGTCACCACTTCCGAGACTCGTTGCAAGTTCTGCGCCCCGGTCACGTCGATATGAAGCACATGCAGCTAGAACGCATGATGAGTACCATTCAGAAGTCCCAAGCGCGGAGAAATGTATCCGGTTTGGCTAGTCCTCAACAGGAAAACAGGTAGAAACATTGAGTAAGCAAGCAATAAATCGTAGACAACCTCGCATATCCCCAGTAAACATAATAAACAAAGCGTCACTGTCTATTGAACCAGCATATAGCAGGTAACGCCAGTAGCCCGCGGACTTAGGCGGAGACAAGCGTGCTGAGGCACTTGACGACGTCTCCATCGGCCTCGCGCAGCTTGCGGTCCGCCTGCTGCGTGGAGATCTCCATCTCCTGCGCCACCAGTGCCACATCGTCCTTGTTTACTTTAACGGCTGCAAGTTTCTTTTCAAGTAGGCGTTCAGCCTCCTTGTCTGCTTCTTCCTGCTTACGCAGCGCCTGGAACGCAGCCTTCATCTTGTTCTCGTCCATCTGCTTCTCCTCCACGAGGTCCGTGAGCTTCTCCATAGCGCTGCTCTCGTCCTTCTTGCTCTTCACCTGCTCCTGCGGCGTTTCCTCCTCGCCATCCGAGCCCGCATCGGCCTGCTTCTTCTTGTCCTCCTCCGTCGGGCTCATCTTGACTGTTGATCGATGATAATGACCAGCCGATCCTGTCAACGGATAGATGCTGCTTCATGATTCGTAGATAATGAGCAAATTTTAGCCAGTCATTTTTTGGATACTTTAACAGTTATGTGTCTGGACACAAACTAACTAGAATTCCCGGGTATGTGTTTTCACGAGTCTTTTTCTTACTCCGATCAAATGCTTCTACAAGAGCCGCAGTGTCTGTATCATGTTTCGAAAGTTTAGCAACGACAGGACGACAAGATCCGGGTGACGCGCGATCGTCGGCGAGCCACGTACCCCCTCGATTTGCCACCACAGACTCCCACCCCAAGCGCCGCTGGATCTGATCGACAGCTCACTTGTGCTTTTGCCCTCATCGCCGCACGTTCCTCCTCCAGATCCAAGATGTTCTCCCGCGTGTCCCGCCGCGTCGCCTCCGCTGCCAAGCGCAACGCCGCCCGCACCTTCACTACCCAGACCCGTGCCGCCTCGGCCGTCAAGGCCCCGGTCCTTGCTGTGGCTGCCGCTGCTGGTGTCACGGCCCTGGCCCTGTGCGCCGCCCCCGTGGCTGAGAACAAGGCCGCCGCCAAGCCCAACACGCCCCTGGCTGGCGTGCCCGGCACTGCCAAGGAGCGCACCTTCATCGCTATCAAGCCCGATGGCGTGCAGCGCGGCCTCATCAGCGAGGTGATCGGCCGTTTTGAAAAGAAAGGTTACAAGCTCGTAGCTCTTAAGCTTATGACGGCCACGGAGGCGCGTGCCAAGGCTCACTACGCTGACCTGTCGGAGCGCCCGTTCTTCCCGGGTCTCGTCAAGTACTTCACCTCGGGCCCCATCGTTTGCATGGTCTGGGAGGGTACGGACGTGATCCTCACGGGCCGCAAGATCCTGGGCGCCACTAACCCCAACCAGGCCGCCCCTGGCACCCTGCGCGGAGACAACTGCATTTCCACGGGCCGCAACCTTGTGCACGGCTCGGACGGCCCTGACTCGGCCAAGCACGAGATCACCATGTGGTTCACCCCCGAGGAGATCAGCAACTACGAGCGCGCCCTCGACTCGTGGATCGTCTCGGACAACTAAGTGACGCTCGCGCTGAAGCGCGGCTGGAGATGAATCATCAGCCCTCGTAGTCTTACACTGCTTCCATACAGTAAAAAAAGAAAAAATGATTCTGAAGCAGTCATTATATTTGCGAGTGGTGCAACGGTGATCAATGCAAGTTCAGTGCTGTTTGGTCAATGTCTTGTTGATGCATTGCGCCAAAAATGGACAATCGTCACCAATTGTCCAGTTGCTTGTCGCTGATGTGTCTCCCGAAATAATACCACCTCGTACGCCTTTCTTCGATCAACTTATGTGGCTCTTTTCTAAGACTTAATGAGCACAGAGACTCCTGGCAACAATGTTCAGGAGGAAGTTCTGCGTTTGTGTTGATGTTGAAGGCTTTATCGTGTCATACTTCCTCCAAGTGAATCGCAGCGACCAATCACAGAGACGAGCTGGTTGAAGTGACCATCATTCTTCCAATTCCGCACCAGCGGACACTCTCCTAGGCCAGGTCTCATATCAGCATCCTTCTGCAAGAGCCTAACATTATGCAGGACGTACCGCTTCGCGAGTGGGTCATGGCGCAGCGTCTACTTGTAGTTGAGCGTGAAGCGTCCCAAGTCCGACGGCGCCGAGCCATGCAGCTTGTCGTAGGAAGAGGAGAAGCAGGCCTCGTGCTGAGGGCGAGCTGGCGCGTCTTAGGCAAGAAGGAATTGCTGCAGCTTTGCGTGTCCGCCTCCTCCTGCTATGGGGTCTGCATTGGCAACGCCAGGCAAATCTAGAGCAACTGTTCCAGGCCACCGAGCTGCTGCGCCTACTACGACAGCTCACCTATGACAAAGAAAGAGCCGTCCTGCAATCGATGACAGAAGGCTACGGCTCTATCGACGGTGTCATAACGCCGAGAAGGCTGACCTTCACTTCAAGAGTCCGAACACTTCGAGCGACGAGACTGGAGTAGAGAACAGAGTTGGAGGCCAAGAGAACCCAAACTCGTCACCTTTTCGTCCCAGAAATCGCTAATTAGTGGGTGCCCCGTACAACTGAATCCGTGCCATGAAAAATTTCCAAAGCCAAGCCAATACTCCAACAAAGAAGTACTGCTTTAAGACGAAATGGTGAAGCTGGCCCAGCATCGCAAACGAAAAACTTCAAAACGTCTTTGAGCAGAGGAAAAATATTGATGGGTTAGTCCGAGTCGTCTCTGGTGTCACCAGTGCCCTGGTCTTTAGAGTTGGCGAAGCACAACGAACTGCTTCAGAGTACGCATAAATCTTCATCTCCCGCTCATAACGCCACAATGGAGCCGTAAAGTGATCTTGTTGCTACTCAGCACCCAACAGCAAAGGTCTCTCCTCACTATCATTCGACGAGCCATCACTCGACGCTATGGACTCTTCATAGTCCTCCGTATCGTATCCGTCCAAGCCAAGTGATCGAGGATCAACTCGTCGAGAACCTCGAGATCGAGTTAATGCTGCTCGTCGGAACCCAAAGAAAGTAGCAGGCTGTCGCTGTGAGTCCACTCGGTCGAAGCGCCACCCGAGATGTTGGTAGCACGAATTACAATGCGTGATGCTCCACGCATATCCCGCGAACCACGTGTCTTCTGTACTGCGCATCATATCCACGAACACGTGTGCACGGTCCACCTCGCGCAGTGTCAACACTTGGAAAACATGGCCCCCCGGATTGACGAACGTGCCTCCAGCTGCACCACGTGAGGTCATGCTGAAGATCTCTCGAGTATTCGCAAGGAAAGACCCACACATGGAGCAGAAAATATCCTCCTCTACCTGATCAAGCAGTTCGATCTCTCGACGTAGCAACCGAACGGTGGAGTTCATACTCAGCAGTTCCAGTCGTTGACTTGTGTCCAGCGGTAAATTACCGGCCACCCAGTACGCAAACAAGTTCGGATCCTGTCGGTCGCTAGGCAGCGCCAAGTAGTGCACCAACGATGACTTCTCGTCTTCATCATCACCACCTTGTGTGCTTGATCTCTCCGTTCTCGGCTTGCGGAACCATTCACCGTGGATATTTGAGAGTAGCATGTTCTGAATCTTCTGCACCAGAACTCGTGCGTCATATAGCGCATATGTGCGGCGCCCCCAGTAGGCTGGATACTGCCGTCCACGTAGTCTTCGCAGACTTCTCCTCTTCTCGTTCTCGTTCTCCCGATGCCAGCACAAGTCGTCGAATGGGATCGACTGCGCTCTGTCCTGCGGTAAGATCTCCACTTCACCCCGCAAAATCTGAGCGCTCGGCTCGGCTCGCAGCCTCTGAATGAGACGGAAGCGCTGTCGAGCTGTGCCAGTCATTGCCGCAAAATGATCTTCCACACTAAACCTCTCGACTCGAACAGTGGTTCCATATTGTGTTTTAGCCTGGTGTGGAGGCAGCACGGCCAACAGCGCACCGTCATGTGATAACAATTCGCGGATGCGTCCAATCATCGAGCCCGAGAGCATTCGGAGCGGCAGATCGTCGCCTGGAAACAGAACCTGAGAGATGATACCATCTTTTAGATTGTTTTCTATACATGAATATTAGCAGTTTACGCGTACGATGTCGGGAAGGTAGATCAGTGGCAGTGTAAGCACTTTGCCATCGGGGTAGACTGAGAGCTGGCGGTGATCTACGCCCTCGAGGTCGCCCAGGTACGCGTGGGCGTTGCAGGCACCTTCACCACCGTTGGCAGCGATCGGCATACTATCTTTAAATGAAAGAAAAAAAAGGTGTTAACAAGGGTTGAATCCCGTTTTTATTTGTCGAATAAAGGTAGAGCGACCCTTTTTAGGGCATACCATAAAAAGTGTCATTCAAATACAGGTAACGAATGCGATGAAATAGTTCCGTTTGGAGGCTTCACTGCAGTTGAGTAAATCGTCTTGCGTTACAAG